CACCAACTTAATACAATTAGAGCAATTTGAGTGTTAGATTGCTTTAAATGAAAAAACTTTTTGTGTTCTAGCATGATAATGCACTGTCCAATACAGAAAGTATCACATTTGAAAAGACTGAAGATCTCAACTTGGAAAAAATTCCACACCTTCCTTATTCTCCAAATCTTGACCATTCTGATTACTGATGATTTTTGAGTTTCAAGAATCCTCTTGAGAAACCAGTTCTTAAAACACGTGGAGTAGAAACCAAATTAAACTTAAAGCAATATTTTGTTGGAAGATGGTGTTGATAATTGTGAAACATAAGATCTAAACTTTTTTTTTTTATTTTATTTAACATTAAATTTGAATATTAAAAGCTGACATTATACTTACTACTGTGTTACCTATATAGGTGCCAGTATTCCGGAAAAATTAACTATTTAAGACAGTTTGCAGCAGTAACATCTTGGTCCTTAATTTGTGTGGTCATTTTCAGTTGTGTGTGTGTGTGTGCTTTTTTTTTTTCCACCCCACTTCTTTCTCTGATAAGCTGCAGTCTTAACCTTTATTTTTAAAATTTTTCTTTATAGAATATTTGAAATGCTTAACTTTTTCTATTTTATAACTATTGAGATCTTAATACCAGCAGTCAAAATCATAGTCATTGTGAACTTCATGATCTTTTCATTATCTGCATTATAGTATGAGCTTTGCCATGGCTATATATGGTTTATGAATTCAGTTGTTGTTCTGCTAGACTGGCTGCCAACCAAGGTTGAAGAGCCTGGTTAACTATGCTATTTAACCCATAGCTGGGAGGAGTGAGTTGGATTCATACCATTCCTAAGGGTATTTATGCATGATTGAATGTAACAAAATCATCTGGAATTCAAACACTGTTCCCAGATTCCTTATCCCATGCCACTATGCATTATACCACCCACACATCCTGGGGATCTTTATACCAACTTAAATTAGAACATTTTCAGATATGAGGGGCTGAAAAGTTCTCAGCCCAAGCCACATCCCCAGCCACATCCCCAAATCTGACCAAATATAAGAATGTATTTTGAAACCCCTTCTTGGTTGGGCTAGAACATTTTAGTAGAGGTGCCAATAATTGATGAATTCCACTTTTCTTAACTTTTTTTAATAAGTGGCATTGAATTATGAAAACATTTGAAAATATATTTTAAGTATTTTGCTGCTTTCAGGTCCTATTTTTGTAACTGATTTCTGTATATTATCAAAGCCTGGCAGGTGATCACTCCTCTACTTGGCTCTTACTCACTTTTTTGCATGAATTTTAACCTCTCAAAAAAAAAAATTACCTGTGTATAGTGCAGCCCTTATTTTTTTGTGAGAGGCAAAAAAAAAAAAATGATTATAAAATCTCACACTATACTCAAGCATATATGGTTGTAGCTTAAAACAAAAACAAAATCTTTTTCACTTTTCTTGGTCACTTCACACCTATCTACTTTATAAGCAAACATTTTGGAATCACACATAACAAATATACATGCATATATACTCTAAAAACTATTTTAATTCATTTAAATTTGTGGATATATACACTCACTCTCTGAAAAAGTCATTAGCCTTATATGGTTACACCATGTGCCCATTCAGCATACTAGCAATCGTATATGTGTGTGTGTGTGTGTATATATATATATATATATATATATACACACACACATATATATATATATATATATATATTAATGAATACATTTGGAGTCTTTACGAAATTCTGTTTGGTTATATACTGTGGCTCTTTCTACTTGCATTTATTAAATGAAATTTTTTCTGAATGCCAGATTAAAATTTCTCTTCATCCCCATTCAGCATTGGACCCACATTTTTATTCTTTTCAAGAAAATTATTGTATATCGTCTCCATATTATTTTTCTCTCACTCATTTTCTCAAGGCATGAAATTGTCAATATTTGACATTTTAGTAATGATTTTCCAGCCATTAATCTAAAAATTGAAATCTAACAGCTATTTTACTACTCTTATCAAAGTGTTGACACTGGTTGACTGATAATTTCCACAAATTTTTTGCCAAGTAGTCCTGTTGACACCTTTCTATAATTGGCAATGTTTAACCCTCGTGGCTGCAAAGAAACAGTATGTCAAAAGGATGGTTATTCTCTTGACACTACTATTACTGTATACACTTTTGACTTCATTGGCAATGTTTATTAACAAGATTAAAAAAAATACTTAAATCAAGTACAATGTGATATTTATTACTTACCTTTTATAAAAGTAAATTTGAAAAGGAATCTTTTTATTTGGAAATTTATAAAAAAATTATAAAATTATCAAAATATGTCAGGAAGAGATGCTCTCATCCTATTATAGTGAATTTATGTGGTGAGAGCAAATGAAAGATACTTGGAAAATGCATTTTTTTTTAATTTATAATTACAGTAACTCATTGTGCATTTAATTAAATTTTCTTCAGACATTTTTTATAAATTTACAAATAAAAAATATTTATTTCTTTATAAAATAGTAAATAATAAATATTTCATTAGAGCTGGTTTTATCATCTTGTAAATATAAAATTCTTGTAAATAAGCAATTGAATATATAGTGTTTAATATCTTTGTTTTCAATTCTGAAGAATAAAAAATGTATAAACCACTTTCATATATTTTAGTTTTATTAAAATTCTAATCATTGCTTTTTAAAATAAACATTGTCAAGGGAGTTAAATGTATACAGTAATAACATAGTCAAGGGAATAACCATCCTTCTGATGCACTATGTGGGCATGATGATTAAACATTGTCCTATTGCATGTCAGCATGAACATTAAACATTGCCTTAAACATTAACTATAATAGGTTGAGAGCAACTCTTCCTCTTACATATTTTGATAATTTTACTGCTTATAGTTCTTCTTTGTTATGGTCTCTGGTAATTTTCATTAATCCAATTCCATAGCAAGAAAACTGGCATTTTTTTCTGTTTTAACTTAAATGAAAAATGATTTTAGTATATGATCATTAGATTAGATTTTGAAGTAGAAATACTTTGGCAAAATCTGCAGGTAATTTGTCTTGATTGTGTAATACATTAAAAGAATTCTTAATGTGTGAAATCTACAATAATATACTCTTTACTTATTCATTATTCTTTAGTCACTCCATCTTAAATAACTAATACATGTATTTGTCATATTTTACCTGATATTTGTTAAAATTCTATGACTGCCATTAGTCTGTCCATCACACTCTAAAATAGCCATTATTTAACATACAAAATATTCCCACTATTTTAAAAACTAATTTAATTAACAGTACTAAATATTGTGAGGATTTAAAAAAAAAATTCTAGTTTGTTAAAATAGTCTTTATTGCAATTTTACTATGGCAAAAGTAATACACTATTTGTTAGAAAATTATAAGAAATAGTTCAGCAATTTACATTTCCAAAGATGTGCAACTGCTGTATTGTGGTAAAATAATTAAACTGGATTTATTTTGCTTAAAACTTTTATAAAATTGACCAGACTATAGTGATGCTTAGAATAACTTCAAGTCTGACTTGAAACTTGTTTAAACAAGTTTGTCTCTCCTCCCCCTTTCCAACTTGTGCTTCAACATTTTTGTTATCAATAAATAACATTTTTTGGTGGAATTAGTGATAAACCGGTTATTAAAATGTACAAGTCTTTCTAATTCTTCCATACTAGACCCAGCCTTTTTTAAGCAAATGACTCAAGGTATTCTCTGGTGAAATAAACACAAAAATATATACTTATGTTGATAGGTATATCAGGAATAAATGTGGGTGTTCTCCCCACCTCCATATTTTTTTTAATTTTATTTCTTTTTAGCAGTACTTTGCAGTTTGTGAGGAAATATTTGTATATAAGTATTATATTAAAATACAATTTTTTCTTTCAAAATATTTTTTGCATCTTGTAAACCAAATCAATGTCTTCTGTTAATTTTTCTTGAGTATTATTTTGATTATTCTTGTTGCAGTTTCTGTGAAATATTCTAGTTTTCTCACTGCCATTGTAAAAATTCAATTGTCAGTTTTATATCCTTTTTAATAGAGAAAGAAATATTACCTTAAATATTTTTCTAATGATTAAAATTGAGCATTTAGATTTATTTTAATATACTTTTTAATTTATACATGGTTATAAAATATTTTTAAAATCTTTGTGAACTATTTTCTAGAATATATTTTACCTCCCATTAAAGTTTATTTCTTTTCTTTTTTTATGTACTGTTTTCTGTGTTAGTGATTATATTTAAAAATTAATGAATTGATTTAAATCATCTTTTAATTATATTATATTTTCATTTGAAATTTGAGAACATTTTTTAAAACTTGGTCTGAAATAGGGCTCAGGATTAATGTTGTCTTGTTGATCCAGGGTGATAGAGTATTAATTTTAGACAACTGTTTAAATCTTTTTGGATTACACCAAATGATACCTTTTTTTTTTTTTTTTTTTTTTTTTTTTTTTTTTTTTTTTTAATATTACTATTCTATTATATTTATTCTAAAAGTAACTATTTGTGATGTGCTTTTAATAAATAGTACATACATGTATATACACACAAAAACTTAGTCATTTTTAAACTGGTGAATTAAACCTGAATGAAAAATAACAATGGTGGTAAAAAAAAAAAGAAAAGTTTTCTAGAGCCCTGTTCTAAAACATGAAGCAAGCTTTCATAAAAAGGAAAAAAACTCTGTTGGTTGATGGTTGTTTAACAAGAAATCTGTCAGATTATCCTTGTGAATTTTAACTTGATTTGAACACAAAACAAATTAATTTCTGTACTAAATATAAACTTAATTTCCTACCACTAAATTTTTTCCCTATTTGATATTTAATTTTAGAAATAATTTTGAATCACTTTCACAACTGATTGACTTTATTGATTTCTACTTTTTACATTCATAATTATTTTATTAATCATCATTTGAGAAAAGTGACAGGTGTCATAAAATAACAAACACTAACAATTTCTTTTATGCCTCAGGTGTGTATTTCTTTTTTTTTTTTATGCAGTATTGATATAAAACTTATTAATTATGATATTTTTGTTCTTTCAGCGGGTGGTGTTGGGAAGAGTGCCTTGACCATACAGCTGATACAGAATCAGTAAGTAGGACTAAGAAATTAATTTGTATCAATTATTTATTCCATTTATTATAAACCTGTGAAAATATGGTCTACTTTAATATTTTTATTATGGTTACAAGTAGGAAATAATTTCCATCATATTACCAGAGTTTATTAAATCGGTTTTACATTAAATATATTGATGACATAATATTTTACAAATTTGGTTCAGATAATTGAATACTCTCTTTGTATACTTGAGATTGTTTTCCAAGTGAAATAAATTTTATTTATGCTTGTTATACACTAGACAATGACAATAAAATAATCGGCTAAAAATGTTTTACGTGTTGTGGAGTAATGGATAGCAGCTCAGATTGAAAAATTGGAGAGCCAAGTTCAAATTCCAGTCAGATCTATTACATTCACTTATTTACTAATACCCATGAGAAAGGTATAAATCCTCTTTTCCCACCCAGCGATAGGTAAATAGCAGGACGGACTGGGTTCTATGGTCTTGGATACCGCAGAAAGAAATGGTAACCTACTGTGGAGAAAAAAATCCGCCTTGTCAGTCATGTATCGAAAGATTTATGATCCTCTAAGCGTGTATCACACATGGCGCATAACTGACTGTCCCTTCAGGATGTGGACGATAATAGCTCTCCACAACTTCATATACCTTGTAGCTCTTAGTAACATGCTTAAGGTCACATCCTGTTGAAACACTGGTTCCTGTATGATCACCAAAGATAAAGAACATCATGCCCAGTCAATACCTTGATGAGTAGCTGTTTGGGAATACCAAGTGCTGTAAGCTTTGATGTGTGGGTGGTGTAATGGATAATGGCTTGGAATGGTTAATCATAGAGCCGAGTTCTAATTCCAGTTGGATTGGTTATGTTCACTTACGCACAAATAACCTTGCGAAAGGTATGAAGATACCTCTTCTACCCCCAGCTATGAGTTAATTAATAAAACTTGTATCAGTAAAAATAAACATCTCAAAAAAGAATTTTTACAATCTAAAAATATTTTCTGACTTTAAATAACCTGCAAAGGATTGATAAGTCCTGAAAACAGATCAACCAACCAAATCTTAGTAAGATTTGTCTTTTTGCCATCCTTCCAATCTTCCATTCTGCCATCTTTCCAAACAAGCTTATCAGGTAGGTGGCCCATTGCTTCCCTCTGTCCCTTTTAGCTATCTTGTGAGTGTCAAATTCTCCAAACCATCATTTATTGATTCCAGCTGTTTTTTCTGATTCTAAGCATAAGTGTCCCTTTTACTACCATTTTGTTTAGAACTTCTCCATTGCTTATGCACTCCATTGATGATATTCTCGGCATCCTTCTGCAGAGCCACATTTTTGTGGTCTCTTTTTGATATGTAGAGAGAGATTGTCCAGCATTCACTGCCATACAAAAAGATTGATATCACATAGCAATATAGTACCCTTTTTTTTGCCTCTAACACTTTGGAAAATGTTACTCTCCAGGCACACATCACCCATGTAAATGACCATTACTTGTTTGAAAGTAGAACCTACTCTTGTCACTGAATATAACATTGAATCCTCACTAAAGATGTGCACAATGTTGTAGCATATGTTGAAGTCTCGCCAGAGGCACCTATAAATGTCTGAAAAGAAAATAATTCCTACTGGTCCCTGTTTAAGTGAAGGGGTTGAATTTTTTTTTCTGATCTCTGCTGTGAAAGCCACACAATCTGCTACTGTTGCTCTTCTCTAACTATGCATCAATCTTGGTGAGGGTCTGTACTATATGGCTGTCCAGAGACCTGGTTTACAAATGCAAGAATGCTCATTTGACATTGTTGACAGTATTGAAGCACCACTTCTTGTTGCTTACATGTTTCGTCTATCCTTCTTTAGAACCATACCTGTTACAAGTCTTTTCTTCATCTGGGAGGATGTTGTCCAGCATTCACTTCCATATAGGAGGATTGATATTACTTATCAGTTCAGCACTCTTTTCTTTGTTTCTTAATACTTTGCTTAGGTTTTGGAAGGCATTTTCATTATTTCTTAAAATGTTTTGAGAATGGAAAGAATTTTTTTTTTTATACTGTAATTGATGATGACGTAAAAAATGGACTAAGAAATATAGTTTTCTCTCAGTAATGCATATACCATTTCCTTTAGGTGATCATGGGTTGCCATAGCTTCTTTTCCTATCTTGGAAAAGATGGAAAGCAAGATCTAGAAAACTTGGACTTTCATGCCTCCAAAAAAAAAAAAAATGTGTCAAAATGATGCTTCCTCCTTCCCATTGACTCTGCTATTATCTTAACTACATTCACTCCTCAGCAATATTTGTTTTTAAAAAGCAATGATTAAAAACCTAAACATATAATGAAAGTGAATTTATAAATTTTTTTGTCCTTTGGAATTTACAACAAAAATATTAAACACTATTTGATTTATTTACAAGACTAATTTTATATTTCCAACATTCTAAAATCTAATACAATATTTATCATTTACCAATCAATAAAGAAATATGAAACGATTTTTATTCATAAATTTATAAACATTTACTAACTTATTAAAATATGTGAACCAACAAAAATAATAGCAGTGTCAATTATAAAACAGTTCTTTAGACACTCTGATTTTTGCAGGCACAAGTTTTCTAAACTTCCTCATACATTGTGTGTATTATGTGCAAAAGAGGCACTTTTTTTTTTTTCCTTTTCACCTAAATCTTTTATTCATATAAATAAGGGATAGTACTACTTAATTAGCATTTAACAGTTATCTCCCTTAAAAATCCCCCCCACCCCCTCTAATTCAATGTAAAGGAAGAAACCAGTCAGATTATCACTCAATTACAAATCAGCTGGGTTTCTTTTTATGTTGTGTATTTTTAGTAAATCTTAATTTGGTACTTTTGGTTACAACGCACCACTTCAGATACTTAGATTACATACAAAATCACTTTTAGTAATATTTAGATTTTTTTTTTTATGTTCACTTCCTGCCATTATCTTATTTCTATTTTTTTTTTTTTAATCCAAGACAAATACAGAAAACCTTACAATTTGGATAAATACATTTTGGTATAAAAACAAAATCAGAAATGAAGATTTGAGGAAAAGAATTGCAAATCCTCAAAAATTGCAGCAGATTTAAATGTTTTCAGACAATTTCAAATTGTTTTAAGAGGAAAAGGGGTGCCCTATCTTTTGTTCAGGGTGATTACCATGGTTTCTGACATGTATAGAAAAGCAATGTTTTGCCACATTCTCAGGTACTGTATTAAGTTAATGTAATTTAAAATGTCAGGCCAAATATGTATTAAAATACAATTTCAAAAAATAAAAAAATTTCATTGCTTTATAGAAACTAAGAATTTAAGCCATATGAAATCGTGTCAAAAAGGTGGTTAGTATTGAAAGATCTTTTGAGATTTTGGGATAAGTTACTTGTATTCAGTAATGATTCTCTTACATCAGCTAATCCATTCTTAAGTATTTTTTTCCACAAATCTTATGTGCTGTACCTCTCCACAATTTATAGACCTTAGCAATGGTTTTATTTTGGGGTTTTTTTTTTTTTTTTTTTTTTTTTGGTTTTTTTTTTACTATCCTTCATACTCTGTTCTGCCATCCATTTTTACACAAGCTTTTTAGGTAGGTTACTTGATGCTTCCCTTTTACCTCTCATGCCTCCAATTTGTCCTGCAAGTGTCAAATTCTCCAACCCCACTTTCCTCATTGTGTGTCTCAGAAATTTAAACTATCTCTAAGTACAATTTTTTAAACCTATCATAAAAAAGATAATTTTATATCTATTTCTAAAAGTTAACTTTGCTGATTGAGTGCCAACTTTGCTGCAAGTGTTAATGTAAACCCTAAAGTCCGAAGTTCTATACCGAACTGATTTTGTCTATATCTCTGAGATGAGGTATTATGATTACTTAGATTATTTACATTATTTGGACTGTTGTCTTCATTTTCATTGTCATATTCATGTTTTTCGACTGTTGTATGCTCCACCCTTTGTCAGGTGATTGGAATTTCGAACTGAACCTTTTATTTCATTCACCAGAGTAAATTGTTCTAGTTCCATGTGCCATGCCTCTTCTGGATGTCTCAGTTATTTACCTTTAACTCAACTCTCCAAGTTTTTGTTCACCACTGCTGTAGCCTGGTATTGAACTCACAACTCTTTGAGTCTAGTCACTGGATCTAACCAACACCTTTATCTACCAGGCTGATTTTGTTTTCCATCGTTCTGATATCTAAGAGTTGCAAGTTGTACAAAGTCGGGTTAAAATACTTGGCATATTTGAATATTTATATCTGATTAGTAACACAGTATTTACTTGTCAGTTGGATGACCAGAAAAACAGTTAAAACATTGTTTCACTATTCTCTTCTAAATTAGAAGTAATTAAACTGAAAGTATTTATTTACAATTATCTGTAAAAACATTAATCTTGTTTATAACAGATGCACAAGTATTCATTCTGTGAATCATTATGCATTCATGTTTGAAAATCCAACAACACATTGGCTCTCCTTAATCCAGGTCCTAAAGTAACCTTATGTTCTTGCATAAGGATTCCCTGCCGTCACCATCCAAATCTAATGCTTTAATCTGCTAATGGTGTTACACTCTTGGCCATAGATACTGTGGGCTAGCATTACTAGTACTTCAAAAACTACTTTTATAACATCCCCCCATATTTCTGCAATTTTTCACATTGCATTCTCTTTATAGATTACAAATTATTATCAACTTTGTGAGCGTATGTTTGTATATAGGCATGCACACACACACATATACACACAAATATGATAAAATATACTATATTTATGGGGCAAAAGTGTTAATTATCAGAGGTAGAGCATATATAAACATAAGCAGTATGGACACAGTTTAACACCAAATGCTGCCAACATTCTTTTAAATGAAACTTGCTCTTAACCTGAAAATTGGGTTCAAGCATGAAACAAACTGTTGTCATTCAGTGTTGAATTGTATCCACACACATATATATATATATATATATATATATATATAGTTATTATTAGAGAATGTTTCTGGACATTGGAATCAACATTGTTTGGTGATTGTCAGGTTCATGTCTGAAGATAACAAAGGCATGAAAGCATCGATTCCTGTGTCCACACTGTCTATATCTATAAATGCTCTTTCTCCAATATTGAACACTATTCTCCCATATATATATATATATATATATATATATATATATATATAGTAAGTTAAAAAGGAGGAAAAAAAAAATTATTTAAGCAGCAAGATTTCATTTAAACAAATTTGTTAAATTCCATCAATCTGATGTCTGTTTTGACTTTGTATTTTTCTACTTTTTGAATAATTGTTGTACATGCAATAAAAAATTGTACATAAACTGTCCAAAATTCAAATATTTTTTTGTTTTGTTTTTGATTGAGTACTTTCAACTGTCTCGGTCATTATCAAGCTACATTTCAAATTTAAGTAAATGTTGCCATGTGTAAAATTGTTTCAAACAGTCTGTTGTCAAAAGTACTCAAACAGAAATAAAACATGAATTCTGGACAGTTTCTTTCTGATTTGGATGTTTGACAACTTGAATAAAAAAAACTGATATCTACTCTTTGGCCTGAACTTGATCAAACTGATTTCATATCAGCTTAAGGATGTGTATATGTTTGTAGAGCGAAGCAATTATGATGGATAGAACTGATCTGAAATAACAATCTACTCAATTATGGAATCTTGTGGGAATCGTTTCATCAAGCTGATTCTGCTTACAAGCAAGTTTCTCATTGACTCATCATATTTTTTTTTATTTTTTTTATTTAATGCAATATACTATCGGCTAAACCTGATAGGTCTATTTTTCTTTCAAGATACCCAATAGAAAATTGTTGAAACATGAATTTCTAATGCAAAGATCTACCACCATGATAACTTTTTAAATTTTTTATTTATTCACCTAAAAGGATAGGAGCCTAATAAGGGTGGGGTTCTTAATAATTGTGTGTGATGGTGGTGGAGCCAGAATCGTTTTAGTTATAGAAAGTCCTAATAAAAAAAGAGGTGCGAGAACATCATTTAATGAGTCAAAAAGCGTAAAACTAATAAATGGATTGGTTTTAATAAGTTTGGTTGAGAGTTGAAAAAATTTTTTATATTCTTTTTTTTTTTTTCTCTCTCTCTCTCCAAAATTACACCCACAACTTCTATTAGGCACACAAGTGTATCTTCTTAATGCAACTATTTTGACATTTGTTTTATGCAAATATATATTGTGTATATTTTTTTCATCTAGAATAAGAATGCTTTTGATCAGAAAAGTTTAGTGCTATTTTAAAAAAACAAAATGCACATGTATCTGTACATAAATTATGGTATTCATTTTTCTTTTAATGTGTAAATTTGTATTTCACCAAGAGAAAACCTACTTTTTACGATTCCTTTTGAAATAAATTGCTAGATTTGAATTTTCTTAATTTTGTTCCACCCTGTCAGTTGGGGCTTAATACGCCAACTGAACCTCTGCAGAGGGATGATGTCGCCTGTTTGCTGTAGGTAGTGACCCATGGTGCCTGAGGATGGGAGCCTGGAAGTGGAGGACCTCAGGCATATAGTAGAATACTTCTGAATTCCAACACTCTATTTTGGCCCTTATTTGGGCTAGACTGGCAGTCAGAGGTCCGATCTGACCACTCAGCTTGTCATGTCAAACCTTAGTACCAATTCATCCTCAAAAAAAAAAAACACAATAACTTCACAACCCTAAACAAAAATTTTTTAAAAATCATACACATACCAATCGAATTTAATCAGATTGGTACTCGAAGGCAGTGGCAAGGATCAATCTGGTTATAACTAAAAATGTATCATCAAAAATTAATTTAAAGGAAAATGCCATTAAGCATCTTGGTATCTGCATAGAAAACAATTTCAAAGAACTCAAAATAAACTTCTTCTCTAATACTTGAATCTCATCTCTCAAAAACCCCTCCTTGGTTAATAAAAACAGTCCACTGTAAGGCTTGCAACACACCCCAAAATTGAAACTGATACAACTGTATTCATGGAAGAAATTCATAATATCCTACAAAAATATACAATTTGTAAGCATATATACACAGATGGCTCCAAAAATATTGATAGTTGGATGTTCAGTTATACTGAACAAAACTATATTTCAAAAGCACCTACCTGACAAATTCTCAATTTTTTTTAGCACAGAAGCTATGACAATAGACTTAGCTTTGGACATTATCATAGATAGCGAGTCAGAAAGATTCATTATATTCTCAAACTCCCTATCTGTCCTTACATTGCTGAAATATAAAAACTTGACCAACACTGTTATAGTCAAACTTTTAAACAAAATAAATTTACTTTATAATCAAAAACACATCATATTCTGCTGGATTCCATATAGGCATCCAGGGAAATGGAAAGGCAGCTAAAGAATCACTAAAAATTAATATATCAAAAATGAAAGTTCCTCATACAGATTTTAAAACTGTAATTAATACATATATCTTAAATAAGTGATGAGAGTTATGGAATATTCACCCAAATAATAAATTGCACAAAATCAAGCCTACACTTGACATAAGACTCCATAACACCAGACTTTTCCAAAGAGAAGTAGTCTTAACAAGAATCAGAATTGTTCATATCAATATCACACATTCTTTTCTCCTAAAAGACAAGGATTAACCTAAATTAATAGTATGCCAGGAATCATACATCATGAAACATTTTATGATGGACTGTGCCAAATTTGGCCCTATCTGTAAATGCCTTTTATAAGGTGAAAAGCTTTAAAGATCTTTTAAAACATGTTAGGAAAAAACCATTCTAACCTATCTGAGGAAAAGTAAATTAGACCCCAAAATTTAATCCAAACAGCTTCACCTTCAGATGAACTATACAATTAGCTTCCAATTATATTTCACAAATTTTAAAACTATGTAATATATTATTGAATAGAAATCTGTTTTTCAGCATTAAATAATCCAAGATGGTTGATTTGTTGGTAAAATAAACACACCAAACTTAATTTTGTCAAATTTAAATATGCATTTTTCATAATGAATTTTAACAAATTTACAGTGTTAGTGTTGACCTCAGTGTCCTCTCTCTCTCTCTATATATATATATATATATATATATATATATATACACACATACATAATGCACATGAGAGTTGGCTAGAAAGCTTGTAGGTTGACTAAGATATAAATGTAAGGACACATCAGTTTGTAGACTAAAAATCTGCAAGTACCAGAATACAACAGCTGGCTACCTGATCTCTGTGTCTACTTTTATATTTACTCTATCCCTAAGATTGAGCACTTTTGCCTATAAATATATCATACCATAAAACCCTTAAAACTATATTTTTTATTGTGTGTGTGTGTGTATATATATATATATATATATATATATATATATATATGATAGAAAATATGTATCAATCTTACATGTTTCACTTTTATTAAAGGTTCATCAGAGAGAAAACAAACAAAAAAAAACCCCAGAAAACACTGGTATTTTAAATGTTTGTGTCAGTTCTCATTGGTCAGATAGGTGTCGTATTAAAACCATGAATAATTCTATGTGTATATAGGTTTGTGAAGATTTTTGTATATCTAAGTGGGCATCAGATGGTAATGTGTATTTGTAACCATGTGTGTGTATCTGTCTAGTGGGGGGTTTTATCTTCACTTATGTGCAGTCAACCCGCATAGCAAGTTGTCACAAGGTTCTAATTTATGGCTTACCTCTTTAAGAATGTATTCTTTGTATTAGATAAAAATGAGTTAGATTCTTTAAGAATGGATTCAAAGAAAGATGGAGATGTAATGTTTTAGGTATGTGTTTATAGTTGGTAATACTACGTGACGCGTGTCTGACCAATGAGCCTTGGAACTGACCCAAACATAATTGAAAATATCAGTATTTTCTGTCTTTTTGTCTGTTTTCTCATATCTCTGGGGAAGCTTTAATAAAAGTGTAATATGTTAGCTTGATACACGTTTTCCATTTGTTCTTTTATTTGATCATCCTGTCAGATTCCGATCCATATTTGATCTGCAACTTATATATATATATATATATATATATATATCTCCATTAATGTACATAGTCATTCTTTTATACAAGCTGTATTTGTGGTTCTTTTATGCATAGTTTCTTGACAAAAATGACGTTTTTTGGGTTTTTTTTTTTTAACCAAGATCATTTAAAATGGACTTCAGAGGTTTCATGTTTTTAGAGTTGAATAATTTTTTTTTGTTTTAACTCTTTTTTGCATTTTTTTTTTTTTTTTTTTTTTTTTTTTTTCATCTGAGACAAATAAATGTTTCTACTATAATTATATCAGATTAAGCTAATTATTTTTCTAGCTTTTTGCTTGACTATGCTCATCTTCATATCTATTTTACAGGCAACTGACAAAATTTATTGTAGTGTTAATAATTTGTATTTTTATCAAAATATTTTTTCTTTTCCAGTTTTGTAGAAGAATATGATCCTACAATTGGTAAGTAAATAGATTTTATATCCCAGATTTCTAATCTTACTGCAAACCAAAACCATTTTATATTTATATATTAGTCTAAAAGATTATATTTAATGTTACTGGAGCCAGAGTTTACTAATATTTGTTTGTTAAACTTTTTAAAATAATATCAACTGTCAAAATTGGAGACCTCTATTAAAAGAAATTTTATCTAAATTGTTATAATTTCAAGGACCCTTTTCTCATTTACCCCTATTTTTGTTAAAATCTAAACCAAGGGACATAATCTGTTGTATCTATAACTGCAAACTAAAAAAAATTTAAATGAAGAAAAATAATTCTTAACATCATGGTTGTCACTTAAGTGCTTACCAAGAATGTGTTCCCACTTATTATTCCATTATTTTTTTTCTTTATTATTATTCAGAAAAGCGACCAAGAGTGATTGATATTTATTTCTTTAGAAGTTAAAGTGGACTCTTCACATAATAGAAAAATGAATAAATTCTCAGTTTTTAGAATTTGTATTCATTATTGTATAATGAACCTTTTACTGTTTGTTTAAAAGCTAAAAAGCTTTTAAAAGTAAAAGGTGTTGAGGATAATAAGTTAATTACATTCAATAAAGCAACAAATCATATGTGTATTGTTTTACTTTTTTTTCTGGTCGATTTTAGAAGAGTGGGTTACTAAGATTGTTGCCTGACATGAAATTACTTGCTGATTTTAAATTGGAGATTTTTTTTACTATATAAAAGTTCAATCTATATGATTTACTATTCAGCAATTGGCAAGGATATAGAATTTTTTTTTTTTTTTTTTTTCGTCATTGGGTTACACATTTGATGTACCTGTGTGTGTGTGTTTTTTTTTATTTGAGATAGACTATGCATTTACACATATATATATATATATATATATATATATATATATATATATATATATATATATATATTATATATTTTGATTTAACTAGTAGAGAAGACAATATTTATGAATAAAAATGACAATAGGAAAACTGGTAATTGCTGACGCGTTTCGTCAATGTGGACTTTATCAAAGCAAAATACGAAAATGAAATTTTCCTATTGTCATTTTTATTCATAAATATAATATATATATATATATAAATAATGATTCCAGATAAGTTGCTTACCTCCATAAAATTTTAAATAAGAATAATCTAGTTATGAACCAAGAATTATTTCTAAATTTCATTATTCAATGTGAATGAACTTGTTTGCTTGTAGAGGTTATTTAAGTAAATTTAATGGTTTTTGGATAGGTTTTGTGGCTTATTGCAATGAAAAATATCTATTAATGATAATTCCTATTACTTTTATGCTGTCACATTTTTTGTCCTTTTAAAAACCTTAATGAGATTTGTTTAATTGCATACCTAAAGATTAAATGAGCAAACTTTAAGTCATTATATCCTTATTATGATTATATTACTTGAATGATAAAAATTGTTTTAATACCATTGTTGGCTAAAGAAACCTTTAGCCTCAAGATTTTATTTTATTTTTATTTTTTCTGTTATTTTTGTTGGTGATGACATAACTAAGTGTTGAACACTTGTCCCTTATTAAATTTATTTCAAAATCTAAGACCCCTGTTCATAAACAAAATCAAGATGGTTTTTTTTGTCTCTCTCTCTCCTGCATCAAATATCCTAGATTTATTGTTGGTTTAACTCAAATGTATTTTAAGATTCATTCTGAAATAAAATTAAACATGTAAAAAAAAAGTAGTCTTTTTCTGCAGGTTTAATTAGTAAGTATAAGAAATTTATCTCCTCTTAAAAAAATAATATACTGTCTAACATCTGCCACTTCTAGTGGCAGATGCTAGTATATTTTTTAATTTTTAGAAAACTAATGAAGGGATTCACAGAAATATTTGCACAATTAATGTACAGGATATTTTACATATGCGCAAATTATAGTTTCATTTATGGATTAAATAGTAGGGTAGACTGGGCTGCTACTCTAAGAAAAGGAAAACTCCAAATTGAAAACTGCAGAGAAAGCCATGAGAAACCATTCCACTATTTTCCCCAAGACATGACAATTCATAAATAATGAAGAAAAGAAATATGGTGAGCCATGATTCAGTCAGTTATGTTCCATGTGTGATACATGCTTAAGTGATCATGTATCTTTTGATACATGACTGACGAGGCAGATTTTTTTCCCACAGTAGTTTGCCATTTCTTTCTGTGGTAGACCAGTTACCATCCACGGCTATAAAATCTGGTCTGTCCTGATATTTAACTATAGCTGGAGGGAGAAGAAGATTCATACCTTTCCCAAGAGTATTAGCACGTAAGTGAATGTAATGGATTCAACTGGAATTCAAATTCGACTCTTCAATTCCTCAGTCTGAGCCGCTATCCATTACTCCACCAATAGAATTAAATAAATTATAAAAAAGATAAAGCTACATGATACTATCATAATGTGGCAATAATTTTATAAATTTTACTAGATTTTCCATGTTTCATATTATTAGCTAGGTTATTCAAACTCAAAAAAATTTTGTAATTAAAAATTACAGAAAGTGTGTAAACTTTATAAAATCAAATATTTTCAACATAAACAGACTTCCCAGCATCCAGAATAGCATTTCAAAGTTCATACGTGCCAGTTTCTTATCGGTGTAAACCCTCCCCTTTAGAATGCTCCACAAATGTTCAATTTGGTTACAGTCAGGTGAACAAGTCAACCATTTCATCAAATAAGTGTCTTTCAAATTTATTTTATTCAGATATTCATTCTTTATTTGCCAAATGAGATAGAGCATTTTTGTGCATTATCTTTCTGAAAGTGTTTGGCTTCTTCTTGAACCATGGCTACATATGTGCCTTCAGATCTGAGCTGTCATCTTAACACTGTTTAGAACTTGCTAAAGTCCCACCACTTCTCCACCTAGAATCCCTAGAATATCATGCTACCTTCACTTTACTGACATTTCATCCTATGAGAATGGTTATCTCCTGTAGCTATCTATCAAGCCTTTGCTCCATCCATCTTGACCTACCAAGGATAGCATAGCGTTCATTAGTGAAAAGAACAATTGAAATATTAGTCTTCATGTGTTCTATTGCCATTTTCATTTCATTTTCTTCATGAATGTCATTTAAGGATTGTCTCACATGTTTTGGTTCTTCATTTACTTTTCTTTTTAAATAAATAAGCAGGTATATGGAGAATAAATTGTCACAACTGTTCCTTACAATATATCAAGAAAACTATTAAAAAAATTCTTAAAAATTTGTATCTATGGACACAAAATTATCAAATGCATTAGTCATGCACAGAAATAAGTTCAGCCACAATTTTGATCTAAGAATGACACACTTATTAAAAGAGAAAATAACTTAGACAGAAAGTTCTTGAGTACTGCTATTGAATCTTGCCAAAATGTTAACCTGTGCCTTGGATTTTTTCAAATATTACCTTAAAAGAAATACTCCTTTCCCAAGCCAAAATACTTGGCCATAAAAAATTTGAAAAAAATTAAAAGAAAATTGTTAAATCAAACTCTTCTGTTATTTAAAATAAATGAATACATAATTTATCAAACTAAAATAAAATATATAATAATTACATTAATAAAAAAAAAAAATGTGTGTGTGTAAAGGGAAAAAAATCAACAACAATAATATTTACTCACTTTTGTTTATTAGGCATTAAATTACATCACTTAGCATCTTCCATAGTTTACCTTCGTTTTCAGTTAGTCTGAAGAACATCTGAGTGTTCTTAAATTTAGAAAATTTTGAAAACCTAACAATACTACTGTTTATAAATACATGTTGCAAAGTAAAATCCTTACATTTGCCTTGATAAAGTCCATCAGAGGACTAAATGTCTGCTAAGTTTTCCTGTTGTCTTTATTCATGTGTGTGTGTGTATATATATATATATATATATATATATATATATATATATATATATATATATATATATACACACACACACCTATTTTCACACACAAGTAATTTCAAATGATTGCATTTATTTTTTTAAACTAAAGATATGGAAATTAGTTTTAAAATATTGACTTCCATATTTTTTGTATAAAGTGTTTATTATAGATGTTTATACAATTATATGGTTAATTTATTTTATTATATAGATTAAAGTTAATTGGGTTAATTGGTTATTGCCAGTTTATATTTAACTTGGAATTTTCTTAACTGATTTCACCAAGTTGTATTGAGATTTTAAAATTAGACATTCGCATACTGTGATATATATACTAGTTACAACAAGTAATTTTTCTTGTGAACCCCATGTGATGTTATTTTTATGCCTTTTTGTTTTAAATTTTCAAAATTCTGTTTTCTGTTATTACTAAATGCTTGCATTTGTTTTTCAGATTATATACCACATTTTGATTACTTTTATGGGGATTTTAGTATAAAGCTTCAATTTGTCTTAAAAATTAAGATTTTTCTAAATTTTATATATGAATAACATGAAGGGATTTTTTTTACATTTAGCTACTTTAACTGCTTTTAAATTAATATACTATTCTAGCATGGTTTAATGTACTAGAAATATATTCAATTCCTTTATAGACAAATATATGAGATGAAGAAGTAATTCTAAAACTCATATTTGTGGATAAGTCTCTGATTAACAAACGAGTTGGATTTTTAACGATATTTACTAAACATATATAACCTGCATTCCTTTTTTACATTAGGTTCAGTCCCTGTCGGAGACGATTTTTCTTTAGTAGAACTTTTGAACTTAGACCAGTTTTTATTCATTTTACCATTTAAAGAAAATAAAATAAACAGTGATAGCAACTCTATCATATGTATCCACTAAAAATAACATAGTAATAAAAAATCTGTAATTGTGTGTGTGTGAGTTTTACAAAGGTTTGCTATATTCATGGATAAAAGTGCTCAATATCAGAGATAGAGCTTGTGTAAATATAAGAGCTCAGTATTAAACACAATCTTCAGGCTATTCATAAATTTTCATTTACATATTTTTAAGCAATTTTTATTCTAAAATCTTAAAATAAAAGTAGTTTATAGAACTTGCAGCACTTAAATTTCTAACAACTACAATTATTTGTAGCTATTACAGCTTTTTACAAAGCATAGTTTTGTCTACAACTGAGAACTTGATGTTTAATGATCTGACATTTTTTTCTTAGGTATTGAATTGCTAGAAAATAATTTTTACAGTTAAACAGTCAACCCAAATTATGATTGCTAATATATATTTCTCGTAATTTTTATTAAATTTAGGTGCACCCGCTAATTTATTGATCTATTTCTTCTTTGCTATCTTGAAGAATCTTACCAAATGACAATGCTGCTACTGCTGCTGGTTATTGTCCAGCCATAGCAAGTCTGGTTTGATGATCTCACTCTTCATGTACAAACATCAACTCCATTCTTGTTATTGTCATTTTCAACATGGCAACAACAAATCTATCAAATTATTCTGGTGCCAGCTTTCTGCAGTGACCAGATTTTCTTTTAATAGCTCTTCTGTTTCGTATTTGGGATCCAATTAAATATAGCTACAGATGGAATTGAACAAAATGGCTTGTAGAATACATTACTAATGACCTGCCTTTTTGTCCAGTTTATTTTTTTATTTTTTTGTTTGCTGTCATGTCATGTGGATAGGATTTACAGGAATGTGTGCTGAAGAACTCTTTTCTGTTTAACATTTTATAAGATTTTCTAAATTTAAACTGAGGAAATATTAAATATAGTTCATTTCTTTGGGACTGTATTTTATAAACTTCAAGCATGAAGTCTATAATTACTATAGCTTAAAACCAGCAAAATTTTATTCACAAGTAAATTTTCATAAATAATTTAGCTTACTTCATATTGAAATTGTTCTGTAAATTTACTGTTCAAAATAGGAGTACAAACTTTATATTTGGATGAGTGAATACTTTCAATGAAAATCAATTTGATAACAATGACTTTAGAGGAATCCATTTTGAAAATGGATACCATATTGCTAAAAAGACTGTCCAAGATGTAAATTTAATTATCAACATTATGAATAGAAGTTACTGCCATTGTGTGAACTACACCAAAATGTTAATTCTATTTAATTCTAAGGCATGCTGTTTTTCTTTTTTTTTTTTTAAGCATTGCAAATAAACTTTATCTGCTAACTATTTTGTTTATGCCCAAAGAGGATAATTATACATTTCTTGCTCCTAACCAAATGAGAAAGCTCCTGATCTGATTGTTTTTCAGTCACTTTCTGAAAATCTGAGGTGAAATCATAAAATGAAGGATTACTTATTCAGAAAAAATTATATAAAAACTATTTCTGAGTTGATATAGCACTTGTATTTGAAGTAAATGCTATAAAAGTTTCATATAAACTTCCTATTTTACTTTCATTGAAAGATTTTGATGTAAGAATTGAAATTTGTTTTTGTTAATCTAAGATTAAGGTAACGCTTCTAATAGATGAAAAAAAAATTGTACAGTTTGACACGGTAATTTTAGGATTATGGCTACAAAAGTAACAAGTCACTTTTCTTATTAGCCTATGATCCTAAAATCACTTCAGCTGTTATTTTCTCAAATCTGATGAGTAACTTAAATTTTATTATTGACAAGAATGCATGAGCATTCAAAGGGAATGTGATTTCTAAAAAATAGTCAGACTACTTCACCAATAAAGAAAACTTTTTAAATTTTTTTTTTTAAACTAATGTTTTCTTAGTTCATGAAGAGTGACCAAAATAAAGCTTGTTTTTCCTCTATATATTGCCTTCAGTTTAGTGAATTTCATATAATTTGTTCTAATATTTTTACCTATAATACTTTTGATTATTCAGGTTTTATTATTGTATTTTCAAATATTCAAGTTGTAAGGGAAATCTTCAGTAATGTGTAAAATCTATATTTTGTTTTCCTGATGCATTCATTTTCAAAGTCTGTTCTCTTAAAATTTATGTAGAAAGGAACATTATATTCTTAAACTAGGAAGAGCTTTATTTCTGGTCACTGCTTTACTGATCAGGAAACTTTCCAATCTTTTGACAAGTGAGGGAATCTATGTTATCTGAACAGATTTTCATCTTTGATACCTTTGTTTGCATTTCAGAGGATTCACACCGAAAGCAGGTGGTCATTGATTCTGAAACCTGCTTGCTGGACATTCTGGATACGGCTGGTCAAGAAGAATACAGGTTGGTTTTCAAGTGCTGCCTAAAAATTCATTGTTTATTTATTTTTTCCTTTTCAGAGGACTCCTACAGAAAACAGGTTGTCATAGATGGGGATACTTGTCTGTTGGACATTCTGGACACAGCAGGTCAAGAAGAATACAGGTTGGTTGGTTGGTTGGTTGTCTGGCGCCAGCTCAGGCCAACCTTATCTGGCTTTTTAGCACCATATAGCAGGCATGGTTATCTCCCTTTTTACACCAGTATTTTTTTTTTTTTTTTCAATTTTTTTCTAAATATATACACCTCTACCTCCCTACCTTCCTTAACTTAGCCTTTTTTTTTTTTTTTCTGCAACCAATTTTATTACTACTACCACTTATTACCAACCCTATTACTATCATCATTGTTTGTGTATAGGCTGCTTCGCAAGCCATTTATGCAAGCTAAAGGTCTCATTGTTGGGGTTTTAAATCATTGTCCCATAATTAATGTTTATTAAAGCCTTTGCTCATGCTTACTATGGATTATAGATATAGAACCAAATCAATGAAATTTTATATGGAGATGCAATTATTTCATGACAACTTTTCTGAAATACCATTATGCTATTATAAACACTAATATACTAACTATAGTGGATATGGATGTAAAAAATATCAGATTTTAATGGTTTAAGCAATAATGTTTATATAAACATTAAGAAACGAGACCATCCATAAAACCTATATTGAGAAGAGATGCATGTGTATACTAAAATTATCATGTAAGAATTACAGTTTCATGTTTGTCGCTTGATGGAAAGAAAATGGTGCATGCCTCGTGTATTGGAAATGTATTATATTGCATTTGATAAACGATTCTTTGTGGAATATGTAAAAAGTTGAATTTTGAGTTTATATATTCTCTTGATGTTTTTATTTCCATTATTGATCTTCACCACTGGAAACATTAAGAAGAAAAGGTTAGGTGAGGCCAACAGCCTGTCTGCATTTAAAGATTATCTGCAAAAAGGTCATACAAAGCATTTTCAAATTAATGGCCATGATTTTCAACTGTTTAATCACAAATGATTACATGACCCACTTCCAACAATCTGATCAAGCACCAGAAAATATATATATATATATTAATTTCAAATTCTAAACATCCCCTCTCTTTCATGCACATGTAGTCACATCAATTTAAACATCATTTTAGTCTGAAGTCCTAAAAGGCAAAACACATCCTGTGTAAACCTTTTCTATTTTATCATAACTTTTTTCCCCTAAAACTGTTCTTTAGATAGATATGATAAAAATATAATTTTAAGGTATGCTATATTTATGGGTGAAAGTGCTTAATGCCAAAAATAGAACGTATATATAAATATAAAAGTGGACACTGATGTCCGTGCTGAGTGGCATTAGTCTTTCACGTTTGAATGCATTCCTCAGGCCATGTGTGTTGTGTTTAGACATGAAACCAACTGTCACCACTTAGTGTTGACCTCACTACCCACATTGGTTGGATCAATAAATTTTCAGCATCCACTCATAAATTTGAAAATTTCCTCAACTGAAATAATCAAATTGAATTCCTTAAGTCGAGAATTATATTGTTAATTTATCAAATCTTATTTTTTTTCAAGTTTTAAAATGAAAATTCATGTCAAATTTCAATAATAGCAAGAAAACATTAAGGAACAACTCTTCATAAGGTTTTAATTATACTGCTACATAGTCACTGTATCGGTCCTTATCAGCTTTTCATGATTTTTACTTGCAAAAATGTTTCCATGATACAATGAAAAAAAAATAAATTAGGCTTTAAGTGTTGAAAATAGTTTAATGAATAAATTCATAAAATATATTGATGGTTAGCATTGAAATAAATTTCTTCATAATGTTTAAAGATAACCTTTTTTTTTTACTTAGACAACAATACCTTCCCTTTTTTATTTTTTAAATATTCAAAATCTTTATAACTATTGCCTTTTTTGTTGGTCATTATTTTTTCTAAGCAGAAAGTTCATTCAGATTTTACAAAGATACCCTTCACCAAAGAATTTAATTGAATTTAATAGAATGCAGTTTCATAGTTCAAGCTATATGAAAATCTCAGATTGGAGATAGATTTATTATTTATAAATTTATAATCACTCTGACTACATATTCCTCCTCCTAAAATTATTTTGTAATTTCCTGAGAAAATGTGAAATTACAATTTCTTCCACAACTTCAAATCCCATCATACTAGTAATTCTATTCATTGTAAAATGTATATGCCTCACAAAATTTAATGCATAAATCCCCACAAAAACAGCCATGATCAAGGAAAATTCATTTAGGAAAAAATGCTTTTTTTCCATTCTCTCTAGTTCTGAAAATACATTTATTAAAAAAATATCAGATTTTTTAAAAAGTACAGGTGTAATACAAGGCTAGGTAAATTTCATTTCTTTACCATATTGGCAGCATCAATCATTCTATGTATCTGGACAAGTCTCAACCACATGACCTCTTTTTCCTGTTTCTCACAAAAATAAGGTTCTGCCTGCTATGCCTTGCCTTGAGTGATTCTCTTTTCTTAAAGCTCACACACCCCAAGCCTGTTCTGAAAAACTATCAAAGCTTTTTAAAACACTTTTGCATATTGTTCTATTTCAATGTAACTGAAAAAACTGCATGCCTGTTAGCCAATCCCCAATCAATCTCAATGCTATTTGTTCTCTGTGTGTGTATGTATGTATGTACGTACGTACGTATGTATGTATGTTGGCTCAGTTCTTGTGTGTATATATTTTTCATGCGCCATTACAATATCTGTATTTTAATAATTGTAATTTAGTTATCATTTTAGTGCTTATCTTATCGCTACTGATACATTTGTTAATTTACAGATTATTCAAAGTTTATCAAAAGACGGATTTGTTAACAATTTTAATTATCTACATTATTTAAACACAAACTATTATCCTCATCTTTGTTGTTTTTATCACACCATTTCGGTCGGTCGTACACTCTGGCCTTCATCAGGTCCTTGTCAATCCAGATAACCTACAGGGAATTTTGAAACAAACCCTTTAATTAATCTATAAGAGTAGATTGTTCTCAGGCCAGTGACTAAGTCAAGGAATATCTTGTCTAATTCTTATTTAGTACTGCTCAGTTATTGCTTACCCTGTTTCCACTGAGTCTAAGTACACAGGTATGTTCATGAAACAATAGCTTAGCAGATTAAAGTGTTCATAAATTTGGTGACATAGTAATTGTGAGTTCAATCCCAAGGCTAGGCAATATGTAATTGTACTCTGTGAAGACAAAAACTAAATAGTACTAAATAAGAACTAGACAAGATATCCCTAGACACAGGCATTGGAATAAGAACAATCTTCTCCCACAGATTGATTAAAGGGTTCAGTTCAAAATTCCCTGTAGGTTATCTGGATCGACAGGTACCTGATGAAGGCCAGAGGGCACAACAGCCGAAATAGCGTGATAACAACAACGATAAGGGCAATATTTTGCATGTAAATAATAACTCCTCATCTCAGAAATTCAAACATAAAATTTTTAATTCATTAAATTTTAAATTCATTATCATGTAATACAAAATGTCACTAGGAACTTAAATTGTATTTCCAAAAATGTGGATGCTTTTTTTTTTTTTTTTTTTTTTCTTTCCTACATCATACCTTAAATTTTTTTTCATTTTTTTTTTTTTTTTTTTGTAACCTTAAAAAAAATTTTACTTTTTAAGTTTTATTGTTCCTGCTGATATAAAATGAAGTAAAAATAAACTTCTTCTGCTCTTGTTTCTATCGTCTTTTTTTATATTCTTCAACAATCTACAAGATGACTTTCTCTTCCATGTCCAGGTAGCATTTTACAGGTTAACTGTTGCCAACAATATCAACGTGGTTGGAAAATATTTGAGGCAAGTGGTTTGCATAATTAGTAGACATTGCACTCCACAAAATACAGAATACCATAATGTCAGAAATTTGTCGGCTTGGACTGTTTAAATCAAATGTTGAGATTTTGGTCAATAAATCTATTCAGCTCAACTAATAGATAAAGGCACTAAATGTTAGGAACTTATTAAAATAGAAAAGATTGCAGTCCATATGGCAAATTTCTGTTTAGAAATTCCTCATCTCCAAATTACCTTTAAATCACCAGATCATCCACTGTGACACTTTTATACAAAATACCACTAAAACCACTTGTAGAAAATTTGTCAAAGTTTAAATTGATAAAAATTTTAGAACATTTTTTTTTTTTTTTTATCTTAGTTTGATAACCTTGTGAATTCACTTAATGTAAAACAGCTGTTAAATTTATCATTGTCTTAAACATGTTACTGCATGTACAACTTTAATACTATTTATGTAGTACACAACAAATATCAACAATGATTTTTAACTGTGTATAACTTCTAAATCAGACAAAGACTTTGATTAAATGCAGACATAGGTATCTTAACTTTCCATTAGTGTGAAGTATATTTATGAGCATTCTTAAATTGAAAAATTCTGAAAAACTAACATTTTTACTTCTGTTTATAAATACTTGTTGCAAAAAAAAAATCCTTACATCTGTCATGATAGTCTATCAGAGGACAAAATACATCACTTAAGAAGTTTTCCTTTCATCTTTATTCACACACACACGGTACTTTCTAGTAATGTTCAAAGTAGAGTACAGAATATTTGCACCCACCTTGAAATAGTTTGATAACCAAGAACGTATTGGCATTTGTTTGGTACCCAGTTATTACTAAAGATGTCCTAGTGACCTAATTCTATCCTCCTTGTACTGTAAAGTGAAAGTAATAAATTCACAGTTGATATGATGTTGGGGGGGACTGCTAAGCCAATATTAGCTAGGTGTATAAAGTGGTTGACTGATTGAAATGGTGATTACTTTATGCCACTCAATAGAACAAGTTGCCTTTATGTACAAATAAACGCATTGTTAGTATGTCTCTCTATCACTCTCTATCACTCTCTCTCTATCACTCTCTCTCTATCACTCTCTCTCTATCACTCTCCTCTCACTCTCTCTCTCTCTATCACTCTCTCTCTCTCTCTCTCTCTCTTTCCTCTCTCTCCTCTCTCTCCTCACTTCTCTCTCTCCTCTATCTTCTCTCTCCTCTATCTTCTCTCTCCTCTATCACCTCTCTATCTTCTCTCTCCTTCTCTCTCCTTCTCTCTCTCCTCCCTCTCCCCTCCCTTCCTCTCTCTCCTCATCCTCTCTCTCTCCTCCCCTCTCTCCTCTCTCTCTCCCTCCTCTCTCTCCTCTCTCTCTCTCTCCCCTTCTCTATCCTCCTCTCTCTCTCTCCCTCTCCTCTCTCTCTCTCTCTCCTCTCTCTCCCTCTCTCTCTCTCCTCTCTCTCCTCTCTCTCTCTCTCTCCCTCCTCTCTCTCTCCCTTCTCTCTCTCTCTCTCTCTCTCTCTCTCTCCCTCCTCTCCTCCCTATCTCTCTCTCTCCCTTCTCTCTCTCTCCCTTCTCTCTCTCTCTCTTCTATCTCCTCCATCTCTCTCTCTCTTCTATCTCTCTCTCTCTCTTCTATCTCTCTCTCTCTCTTCTATCTCTCTCATCTCTCTCTCTCTCTCATCTCTCTCTCTCTCTCTCTCTCTCTCTCTCTCTCTCTCTCTCTCTCTGTCTCTCTCTCTCTCCTCTATCTCTCTCTCTCTCTCTCTCTCTCATCTCTCCTCTCTCTCTCTCTCTCTCCTCTCTATCTCTCTCTCTCTCTCCTCTATCTCTCTCATCTCTCTCTATCTCTCTCATCTCTCTCTATCTCTTCTATCTCTCTCCTCTCTATCTCTGTTTTTTATACATTGTCAATAAGAATGTGTTTAATTTAAAATTTTGATATTAATGGTATCACTGAAATCATATGAAACAACCATGACAAGCTGAAATAGTATTTAATTGTTGGTGTATTCTCTTCTAATAATGATACATTCAAAGAGGTGCTGAAAAGTTCTCAATCCAACCAAGAAGGGATTTCACAAAAGATGTTGGACCATTTGGTCATATTTTGGGAAGCAGAACAAGCCAAAAACTTTTCAGTACCCTTTCATACATTATATATCCCTTTCGGTTTAAGAAAGCCTACTGAAACAAACATTTTGTCATAATTTTCAAAGTTTGTTGTTTTTAAAATCTTTATAATACAAGATGTATATGAAGTGTTCTTGACTTGACTCACTTCCAAAAATATGACCAAACATTAGAAATTCTCTCTCTCTTTCCTATTGCCTATGGTCTCAGTTACTTCAAATGCAATCCATTTACAGTGCATATTGTTAAAAATCTTCACTTTATTTGATGCTATTCAAACTCTTCTCAAGTTGGTTGACTTTATTTTCATTGCCAATATTTTTTTCTTTCTCAAAAGCAATATAATTCGTTCATCAGATATGAAAAAAATCAGTTTAATCTTTATATTTATTAAAAAGGATTTTTGCTTCATATTTACTGTGATGGTGGTTAAATTGCTGGTTTTATACAAATTAAACTTACTTTTTCCCAAAGACCTTTCTATTTATTTTGGCAGTTTTTTTTAATGGCAATGGCATGTCCCAATGGCAAAAACCTAATTTTGCAGGCTTCAATTTAGGCTCTATCTAAAAGGTTATATATGAGTATTTGTAGAATAGTAGAACTCACTATACTAGTTAATATCAATTACTAAGTCAAAAATGTAATATTTTAAAATTAAAAATAAGTATATTATAATTTAATTTGTCTTTTATTTTTAAAATACTGTTCAGCTTCATTATTCCTTTAATTTATTCTAAATATTTTAATAATTTGACAAAATAAATTCAGTGAAATCAAATTCAATAAATATATTAAAATGCATTCGTGTAAATTGTTCCATATAAAAGTGACACTTTTCAATATTTATAGATTTGTCAAAAGAAAAGGTATGAAAATATTTACTCGTTAACTAATTGCTGTGATCATTATCTATACTTGTTGGTGAGCAGGTAATTTAAAATAGCTTCTACTACAATGTACATGACATCTCCAACATTTTTTTTCTTTGAAATCTTAATCTGTTTAATACTATTTGACCCATTTTTGATGTTAAGGAAGGCAGTAAAAGATATACCTGTCATGATCTATTTCCTGTTTTTATCTGTATTTTATTTTTCCTTCAATGGTCTCTTTGTAAAGATTACAAAATAAATATCCAAGCCATGATTGATGAAAGTTTGAACATTAGAGTCAATGGAAACATCTTTTGCCACTCTTCATGTTGAATTTCCTTCTCAAGAATTTTGTAATCCTTTCTATTGTTTCAATTGACAACTCTCTTGGAGCTATGTTTCCTTTCAATTAGCTAAATCTGACAGCTTGTTAAAGTATACAAGCATTCTCACTTAGCTACAAACTAATTTATATGTTCTGGGATTTGTTTTTAGAAATGCAAATTACAATTTTATTTTTTTGTTTTACATAATTTTTCCTTTATTAGATCTGGAAAAAAAAATGAGGTTAATTTAAATAATTCAGTTTAATTTGTTTGAGATGTATTTCATGAAGCCATAATGTTCAGCTATTATACATTTTATATAGATCCATGATGAATTTATTTACCATGAAATTATCATTTGATGGGAAAAGATTTTTTTTTTTTTTTAAACTATTTTTAAAGTATTTGGAAATGCTAACTTTTCAATAAATTACACTCACAAATGCATCAGTAATTTTTACATTCTCAAGCTTATGAAGTTTTTCTTTGGTGGGGGGGTGTTTAAAATAGACCTTTTTAAATAAATGAAGAAATAACTTTATATTGGTTAAAAACAATCAACTTAGGACAGTTTGATGCCAGCAGGTACATTGACATGTTACTTGGTAACTCAATAGCAAAACTTGTGCAATTCCTTTTGGAAATGTTTTTGTATAAATAAAATGTTTCTGTTCACAAGTATGGCATTTGAAAATGGAAAATTTCTATAATTAAAATGAATCTCATAAAAGATTTTTGTTTTTATTCCATAAACACAAGATATGAATATGTAAAAATCAAATTTATTTGAACACATCTGAATCTTAGATATAATCAACATTTAAAAACTTTAGCCAGAATGAAAATTAATCTAAATTTTAAATGAAAGATTATATTTTTTTGTTTTATTTATTTATTTTTTTTTTTTTTTTTTTTTTTTTTTTTTTGAGAAAAATATCAAAGATCATGTGAGTCAACTTCCAAAATATTGCATAATTTTAAAAAAATGTGATCTGCAACAGAGGGGTTTTATTTTTTACAATTTTTTTTATACACAACAGTTGGGAATGAAAGATAAGACCTATTGAACATTATTTTATGTTTGGTTAATATTTTATAATTTCAGGAGTTGAGATAAAGAACTGAAACTATAAAAGGCTTATCATCCTTATTGTTATTATAATCTATATATAAAATTTTGTAACTTCTGTTAGTCTGTCTGCCCATCACACCCTCTAAAATAGCCATACATTAACTGACCAAAACCAAATTTTTAGAAGTGCAAACAGTTAAGAGTAGGTACAAAAAGTACGGTTGGTTTTACTAGCGTGCATAGCTTAGTACAATAAATTTTCATTAACTTTTTTGGGGGGTGGGGTGGGGGTAAAAGTTTTATTGTTTAACATACAAAATACTCCCACTATTTTAAAAACAATTTAATGATTAAAATGAGAAATACTTATTTAATAAAAATGCCATATTGTTTTTTTTGCATATCTTTTTAAGTTTTTAGATAGAGAAGAATCCAGTCTGCCCTGCATTTACACAAACTATAAACAAATCACAAGGCCAAATGCTTCAAAAGTTGGAATTTGACTTCAGAAAGAAATATTTATTCATGGCAAGTTGTATGTTGCATGCCCTAGAATAAGAAATCCTAAGAATTTATTCTTCACTGTTAAAAAAGGAAAAAAAGAAATTTCTTTAAAAATATTGTTTACCATGAAGTCCTATAAAATTAAAGAAATTATTAAACTGTGAAGTAGGTTTTTTTGACAAAGTATTTTTCTAAACAAATCATCTTATTCAAATTTCATTGATTGGTTCACGAAATTGAACAGAATGTAGAGTTTGTAAATCTTGACAAAAATTGTTAGCAATAACTTCAACAATACTAAATACTGTGAGGATTTCAACATACAGCAGTGTGCTGCAAAAAAAATTCTAGTTATTATAAAAATTAAAATGTTACAATATCCTATTATAACTGTTTGTCTCTCCCTTCATTAGTTAATTTTTTTTAATTAGTAGTAAGTAAAACACAAAATCTGAATAGTATAAATCTTCAGTTATTATAATTCCTTTACTCTACTATTACTTATTGCATCTCGAGCATTTCTTTTAAAGTAGGTGTAAAAGCATAAAAATTTCATTCAGTCATATTTAAGATCAAATTGAATTTAAAATACACTGACCTCATTAAAACTGATCTTTATCTAAAAGAAGGAAAATTGAACCAGCTGGAGGTGGGGAATAATTGTATTACATTTGTATACATTATAAATTTGTGTTTTTAAATTTGAATTTAAAATAAGTGGAGGATTTAATTTTGTATAGCTTTTTCTAAGCGTAGTTTTCAAAAACTTTTTCATGTCTCAGGTTGAAAAATGTCTAATTTTTCAATTAGATAAGTGAGAGAGAGAAATACTTGCATTTCAACAAATGAATGAAATGTTTTTAATCCTTTAATCGAGATACAGGTCCTCAACTTATGACATAGTTCCATTGCTATGATATAACATGATTGGAGAATTAATTACTGCAGATACTGTATTACATTGTCTTAGGGCTCTTTTATACAGGGTGCAGGCAAGTTATTAGCTTGATGAAGACACCATTGCCATTAAAGCTTTACCATCATGTGGGAGGTATTTTTTTCTGCACCTATACTTCCCACATGATGGTAAGACATCAATGGCAATATTGTCTTCATCTAGCTAATGTCTTAGCATTATGTGGGAGGTATTTCTGCCACATCCTATATTACAAAATAACTTTTTCAAATTATATAAATGATACAAAAATACCAGAATGTTCATTTTTCACATTAATTTTTTTTAATTATTGAAATTATTCGAATGTGACAAATTAAAAAATTTTGTATGTATACATAGTAAAATTACAAAGTTACCATGAACTAGCATGCAAGTCAACTGTTATGAGAAATTTAAAATAGTAATTCTGCTTCTTCTAAGGGATGTTTTTTGTTTTTTGTTTTTTGTTTTTTTTCTATTAATTTTTTTTTTAATTTAGGTAGTCAGTATTTAGTTTAAAAATATTTGATGGTGTTTTTTTTTTTTTTTTTTTTTTTTTTTTAAATTTTTTTTTAATTTAGGTAGTCAGTATTTAGTTTAAAAATATTTGATGCTGTTTTACCAAGTTTTTTTTTTTTTTTTGTTATACCATCTCCAGTCAGGACGTAGGCAGTTTTGGCTCTCCACAGATTCTTTTTCTTTATTATCTGTGACTTGCCATGTCTTTGGGTGGGGGGAAAAGATGAGTAATTTTCTATTACTTTCTTTATGGTTTTAAAATTAAATTTTTCTTCTCCTAGATTGGCTGCTGCTTCAGACTAGAGCATCCTATTTGCCTTGCTATTTAATCCATAGCTGGGAAAGGGGATGGGTTCATGCTTTTCCCAAGGGTAGTAATGAAAAAGTAAATGTCCCAGATTAAATGAGAACTTGAACTCCGCTTGCCAATTTCGCTTTGTACTCGTCAACCATTTCTCTGTTTACATGTATCTTCTATTTTAATTGTATAAACCATGAAATTAAAAAAAATATTCTATGTACATCCCCCAAAATATATATATATAGGCAGCAAATATTCATCCAAACAAGTTTTTTTAGTCCAATGAAGTCCTGAAGGATGAAACATGTCACAAATAAACTTTTTACACTTTTTTATTTATATATATATATATATATATATATATATATAAAAGAATCAGTGGATTTTTTAACCATTATTTCCCACTACAAATATTATTTTGCAGATACCCATGTTTAAGTAGACATCTTCCCCTACCCTTTATAAACAGTATGAATTATGATTACCAGCCTCCACATTCAAGAGACTTTGTAAAGAAAATGTTTTCTAAAGCAGTGTTCAAACTCGCATCCCTCTTTGTAGGAGAAACCACTGTCTGATCTGGCATGCTTTAGACCTCTCTCTAGTCAAGCAGTCTAAAGCATGCTGGAAAGGTGCAGAACAGCTCAACACTGCTGACTGAACACAGGGACAACTCAGCACCAGAAAAACAACTTTTTTTATAACCAAATAAAAGTAATTTATTAAGGATTAATTCATATTTTTCTTCAAATTTTTTGTTTTTTGTAAAGTAAATCATAAAGAAAATTGACATATAAAAAATAATTCAATAAAACACTTGTTTTTAATTATTTTTTAATAAAGTAAATCAAAAAGTGCAAAACAAAATGAAAGTTTTTGTTTTTAATTATTTTTAATAAAGTAAATCGACATTCTAAAATATTTTTATAAAAAAATATAACATTTAATGTGAATTATTTGGCTGACAACTATTATAAATTACATTATGATTTACATAATGCCTTTTCAAATTACTTTATTTGGCTATATAAAAAAGTTGTTTTCTAATGCTGAGTTGTCTCAGTCCTGAATTGTCCTGACAGTGTTGAGTTGTTCCTTCCCATGCTGGAAAACTGACTGTATTAACCAATTAATAACCACTGTCCCATTTTTAGGACAATGGGCATTAATGGATTATGATAGAAATCAATAATTAATACCTGATTTTTATTTTTATAATTAATACAGGATTTTATGGTAGGCTCTTCACTTTTTCTATATTGAAAACAGTATTTTAGTACCTTTTTGCTAAAAACAAAAAAAAATTACATTGCATCTTAATAACAGATATTATATAAAATTAATTTTAATCAACCGAGTTGACAAAATAATTTTTTAATTTGCAAAGTTTTAGAAATATTTCAAAACTACTAATTTGAATTTTTAATATTGTCAACACTTTATAACAATTTTTTTTTTATCTAATAAAATGAATTGTTGATTTTTTTTTTTTTTTTTTTTTTTCCCTTGTCTGTAGATTGCTCCCGACACCTCTGTTATTTCACACAACTTTTTTCCTTTTCAATCTCCTCTGCTCAATGTTATCAATAATCCTAAATTTATTAATAGATTCACCAACAGTGTAGTTAATTATCAGCTTATTCAACCCGACCTCACTTAATCGTGTGCACCTCCCTGTTTTTCCTTTATTTCCAGTGCAATGAGGGACCAATATATGCGCACAGGTGAAGGGTTCCTTTGTGTATTTGCTGTAAACAATACAAAGTCTTTTGAGGACATCAACCAATATAGAGAACAGGTAAGTAACATAGAAACCATTTACTCATTTAATGGTTATTAAAAATCCTTTTAGTCTTGAGTTAGGCAGGTAAAAATACAATTGACTCTTATTTAGCATTAGTGTCTCTTTTATTGCAATTTCTAATGTCCAACAAAGCTATCTATGTCTATGTTGAAATTTTTTTTCTTTTGTTGGATTTTTATAGCAAAAGAAATGACTTAGTTCAAATAGTACAATTATATGGTTATTTGGATTGGAATTTTTAAATAATTTTAATATATTGGTTTTATTTAGCATAAATTTCACTTTTTTTCTTTTTTCTTTAACAAGAAACAGACATTTATTCCTAACTTGTCTGCTGGTTGAATTGTTTGTTTTTGATTTTTTTTTTTTTTAATTTACATACTAGTTTATAATTTCTGTTGTATTTTCTTCACCACCCTCCTCCAGATTAAACGAGTGAAAGATGCTGATGAAGTTCCCATGGTCTGTAAGTATTCTTTACCTTGTAGAATATTTAGATTTCTCCTAAGAATGAAAAATTTTCCTACAAAAGTTAGCTGACATTTTTATTCTTTTCTTAGATAAAATGAAATAAGGAATTATCGTTTTTATTTCCTGTTTTATTTACTTTTCTGTCCAGTCTCCATGGAAATATCAGGCAAAATACATTGGTTTAACTATTCAACAAATTCATGATAATAAGACTGTTTTCAGTGTATATTGGCACTCGTATAACATTATATAAGTATCATTGTTTTAATAACTCCTGTACTGAGATATATACACCTCTTTCAGTTTTGTATTCAAGGTTGTTAAATAGGAAAATTTTTTTTTTTTTTTTTTTTTAAATAATTTATGTAGATGACCTTTCTTTGAACCATTACATTTGTCAGAAAACTGATTTAAAAAATTTTTTTTTTATTTTTAATTGATTTAGAAGCGGAGCCCTATTTATAATATTGATGCAGTATCAAATCAATCACTGACTTTACAGTGTTTGACTTAGTCACTCTGCTGTTGTTTACAAAAGTCAAGATTGAAAATCTGCTAACATTGATATCTACATATTTTTTTTCTCAATTTTTTTTTTAAACTTTTAAAAATAATTTTAGAAAATTCTTTTGTATGGGATTTTTTATTTTTCATTTAAGTAGATCTCAAGTTAGTATTTGAATGGTTTAAATGAAGAATAAGTGGATACATAATTATAAATTTTTCTTTTAATTAAAAATATGTATGTATCAGTTTGTTCTTTTATTTAAAAGAAATATTTTTTTGTAAAACCCCAAAAATGTCTGTTCTCATAAGCAAATAGCTAAGTGAAATATAACTGTAAAAATCTGGGATCATTTTGTCACTATCAATATTATGAGCAAGAAATCCCTTCTAAATAGATAAATTTAAAAAAAAAAAAAAAAACAATATTTTCTTTTTTTTTCCCCCATTCTGACAAGTGTCATAGCCTGAAGAAAGACTAAATGCCAATCTACAAAAATTATTTCCCCTATGTTCTTTAAAGTGGACCAGTATGGCTGAAATTGTGTAACTGGGTGGGGATCAGTTTTTTGCTTTTACTTTGTTTCACTTTTCTGTAATCAATCAGTGTGTACACTACAGTTTTACATTTTCTGTTTACAACCCAGGTAAAGAGTTTAAAATAGTTAAATATAAAGAGCCTTCCTCTACATGCACACACACACACACACTTTTTCTTTTTTCTCCCTTTCCCTCCCATTGCTTCCTTTTCCAACATTAACAAACTACAAGTAAAATATGATCTGAAGAGAGTAACAGGAAGTGTCTGCTCCCACAGCTTCCTTGTTATCTCTGGTGATTTCAATGGTCAAATTGGGATGGACGATGCTCTATTCACATATAATAGGGAAACTAACCAAAACGGAGCGACAAACTTTGCTCACGCATTCCACCTCCAAATTACAAACACAAGGTTCATGAAGCACCCAAACCGTTTGTGGACATTCCAATATCAATCTGATCACATTGAAACACAATATAACAACCTTATATCATCTACAGAAGAAATCACACTCTCAAAACTGCCAAAGAAGGAAAAGTTACTGCACACCCACATCAGTGCAGATGTCCATGTGATAAAGGCAAGAAAATATCTGCAAAGAGTGAAACCGAGATGTGAACAAAAGCTAATTAGGAATAATTTTAAAGACACCACTAAAGCACAAGGGATACTAGATGAGGCCCATGCCAATGTAGACGCAAGGAGAGATTGACAAGATTATAAGACTGCATACGGAGAAACAACATGTTGCAGATTGAAACACAATAAACACACTCTCAGGAAGAAAATCAAACCCTTCCATTTGGTTCAAAGGCGGTTCTGCTGTAAAGCTAATTGGTTTGACTACTTTAAGAAACTCCTGGAAGAACTACTATAAGTCAGTGGTCTTCCACAACACTCAAAGATTTTGCCAACAATAAATCTCCAGGTTTTAACAATATACTAACATTATTGTGGAAAGATCCCAAATTTCATCATGAAATTTGGGATCTTTCCACAATAACTCCTAGAGTTGTACAACACACATTTATACACCATTTGCTGCCTTCAACTTGGCTGAAGGATGGAATAGTCACTGTTCCAAAAAAGGGGCAATCTAACAAATGCAGCAATCTATAGGGCTATAACTCTCATGCCAATTGCAGAAAAAGTTTACAATAAGCTAAATAGGATTGTCCCTACCATCGATCCACTCCTCCGCAAGAACCAGAATGAATTTAGAAGTCAGCAACTGCTCAAATCCTCTCCATTTGCTGCATACTAAAAGAGATGAAAAAAATTCAACAAAGAGGTCACAATCTGTTTTGTTGACTTTCACAAAGCATTTGATTCTATCAGCAGAGATCTCTTATTCAAAATCCTCCAATTCAATGGTATACCCTCCAGAATTTAAGGCAATTAGAGCTCTGTACAGAAACACCACTGCTACCATTGTATTGTCTGATGGCGAAACTGATTCTTTGAAGTTAAAGCAGGAGTTCTGATTGACCTTGACTTTGCCAATGATCTTGCATTAATTTCTCAATGTATCACAGATGCAGAATTCTTGGTGCAATCACTCAAGCAAGCAGTGAACCAGGTAGGTCTCTATTGCAACAAGAGTAAGACAGAATACATCAAAACCTCCCTTGAACCATCCTAGTTGAAATCACTCAATAATACATCCATCAAAAGAGTTGAAGACATCAAATATCAAGGATCTCATATTGTAGATTCCCAAAAAGACTTCAACATCTGTAAATCTCTTGCATGGGATGCATGTCACAAACTAGATAAATCTGGTGCTTAAATCTTCCATCCTCCTTAAAAGTTTAAACTTTTCGAATATTGATTGAACCAATACTACTGTATGGATCAGAAACTTAGACTGTTTGTCATGAAAGATGACTGGATTGGAGCATATACAAATCTACTAAGAAAAATTCAGAACACAAGTTGGAGATCCCATGCAACACTTAACACAATCTATGGAGAACTGAGACCAATCTCTCTTAAGCTCAAGCAAAAACGACTACAGTTTACCGACCACTAAGCAAGCAGGGAAGTCGATCTCATCTTTACTCCTATGCATCCTTCTGGGAGTGTCTACTCATGAAAATTTACTTTCCCAGACACCATAGTTCGGGACTCATGTTGAACATTGGTGATCTGGGGACAGCAATACAGGACCGAACAGTGTGGAAAGGGATTGTCAATGGAGTTCCAACCAACCATAGGGACGTCAAAGGATGATGATGAAAATAAGTTCACTCTAAGTAAAATGATCTAGAGCTGATTTAAGATTAATTTAAAAATAGATTATACTCAGAAATCCTAATTTACATAGAAATTGTTCAACTAGAACACTGTCTTCACTATGACTTAGGCTAAAGTCTTACAATTACTTGTTACAGAAGCAGCATCTTTATATACATCATTTTCTGACTTAGTTTCACTAAATTCTGAATGAATCAATTCATTTAACATTCCTTTAATACTTTGTTCAGTGATGTGTTGTTGTGACTAATGTTTACTTTGAAAATAACAAACAAACCCTTTACAAAGATTAAATGTTTAACTGTTACCACCTTTAGACATGTAAACTGAATGCCATGATGCTTGTAGATTTGGTGATCCAATATAAGCAGATAAAAAGAATTACATTAAAACAAAATACTATTGATATAATTTTGTAGAAATAGTAACAAACTGTCACACTGTATTGACAAAATGTCACAAATGAACTTTTTCTAAATAATATGTAGCACATCTGTTTTAGTCCATTAGGATTTTGATTGATTTATTAATTGATTTTTTTATGGCTTACCAACCCTTTGCAGGTTATTTAATGCTAGAAGATATTTTTAGATTGTAAGAATTTTTTGTGATAATCATTTAGTAATACAAATCTTGCTAATTAATCTTGGGGGTAGGGAAATGTGGATTCATGCCTTTCTCAATCGTATTTGCACGTGAATATAACGGACTCAACTGAAATTGGAACTTGTCTCTCTGATTAATAATTCCGAGCCATTATTCATTACACTACCCACATATCCATGCTTATAGCACCAGGTTTTCCTAAGCAGTTACTCATTTAAGTACTGACCTGGTTCAATGTTGCTTAACTTTGTTGCAACATATGGCTGTAAGCAGTGGATTTTAAAAAAGGCAGCAAAAATGGAGGATTGTGTAAAATAGTATAATTTTATTTCTAACAAAAACTGATTAAAATATGGAATACATTATTTACATTATATAAACTAATTAGATTTATTTTGAAGATAAATTACTGATCTCATGAATTTTTTTTATTATTATTATAATATATGTACTGAAAATAAGTCTTTTCTGATGTACACCTTATGTGTTATTAGTACTCAGTGTCATTAATCATTACTTTTTATTTAGTACTTTTAAAGTAAAAAAAAAAATCATAAATTCTTTGGAATTGTACCATTATTTTTTTTTTTTTTTTTTTTTTTTTTAACTTGTGATCTGGAGTGCTTAATTGAGAGATATATGATAAAATATAGTTTTAAGGTATGTTATATTTATGGGTTAAAGTGCTCAATATCAGGGATAGTGTAAATATAAAAGTGGACATTGAAGTCAACACTCAGTGGCAACAGTCTGTTTCATGCACTTTATCCCTCATATTGAGTACTTTAACCCATAAATATATCATACCTTAAAATATAACTCCAGATTACAAATTAAAAATTTTTTAACATTTTAAGAACTCTTGTGGCATGAGCACATTTCATTTGGGATTTTGTAGGGGTGATTAATTTACATAGCAAACTGGACCCCCTGTCACCTTCATAATTTTTTTTTTTTTTTTACCTATAGTACTTAGAGTATAGTAACTTGGAAAAAAAATGAATGACTTTCAGGTCAGAGTGCCAATTGTACAACTCTCAATTCTTTATACCTACATTTGTACAAGGAGGTGCTGAAATGTTCTTAGCCAAATCAAAAAGAAAATCTGATGCTTGGTTAAATTTTTGAAATTGGGTTTGAACAATAACTTTTCAGCACTCCCTCATAAATCATATTAAAGCAAAAAATAATCCTGATCCTTTATTTTAGTATTACTGTTATATTATGTATCATTATTTTCTATAAATTAATAAATGGCTAGATGTAACTAAATGCTATTCGAGGTTTCTTCTCTTGCACTTGTGGAACTCTCTTCAGGCTTCTTACTTTCCAGTCAACTTTGATCTTCAAAAATTCCTTTTTTTTTTTTTTTTTTATTATTCCACTCCAAGCAAGGCAATAAAGCTACTAAGACATAAGGGTTTATTGAGTATAAAAGAATAGAAGAAAAATAATACTATTAAGAGAACAATAAAAGAACAAGAATTAAAAAGCCATGACAACGATTGACATTCATTATCTTTTGTCTTCTCAATTCCTGTTCTTTTATTGTTTTCTTTCCTTAATATTGTAGTGTTTTTCTTTTTCTTATATTCTTTCACACTCAGTACCTCTTGCATCTTACTGGTTTTATTGGCTTGCTTAGAGCAAAATGATTAAAAAAAATTTACTCTGTTGAAAAAAAAAACCCCAAAAATCTGAATTTAATGCGTATTTTATATTAGTGCCAATTTACATTATTGGTGGTTTTATTTTTAATTTCTTTTAACAAAAGGATTTTATAACGTTAATTAATGCGATTTTGTTAAAACTGATTTTTAAATACCTTTATCAAAACAATCTTGTAATTTGTTTCAGTGGTTGGTAATAAGGTTGACCTTCCCACTCGCACTGTGGACACAAAACAAGCCAAGCAAGTGGCAGATAGCTACGGTATTCCATATGTTGAGACTTCGGCCAAAACACGACAAGGTGTGGATGAAGCCTTTTATACACTAGTTAGAGAAATAAGAAAATATGTGAGTATGAAAAATTACGTTTTTAAGTATTTTCTTTGCTTTTACCAACAAGTAAAACAATGGGGTTGAGGTTAATATAAGAATGTTAACTTTTTATTTATATAATAAATTTCAGTTTCTATTTTACTGTAAAACTGTAGTTATGTCTTCAATATATAAAAGTATGTGGTGGTAACAAAGTCTTCACTTTTGGGGATCTGCCTGTTTATTTTTTATGAGTGATCATACTGTTGGTGACGACACATTACGGGAATTTTTTTCTTTTACAATGATGTTCTGTACAAGGCCTAAGAGGTTCGCAGAATAAGGCACACAGTTTATGAGGATATGTGGGGATGATAACAGTTAACTCTAGACTTGAACAGGTTAAGATTGTAGTGATTTGGGAAACATCATATTTGGAGTTGGTTCCACAAAACAGTGGCTCATGAGAAGAAACTGCTCAAGTGGAATTTAGATCTCACCAATGGAATACAAAGGGAACAAGAGTAATTTCACTACAATGTGTTTGGCATAGTGAGTCTTAGCCATGAAGGTTAGAACTGGTGGAACTAAGGAAATGAATACTTTTTGTGGAAATAGTGATATATATATTTATGAATAAAAATGACAATAGGAAAACTGGTAATTGCTGACGCGTTTCGTCCAATGTGGACTTTATCAAAGCAAAATACGAAAATGAAATTAAATGAACAACGTAACTAATAAAAACAAAAACGGAATGTACCTAGCAACTGAAATGTAGAGAAACGCTATTTTCATATTTTTTAAATGAAAAATAACATCAGAGATGGATGATATATATATATATATATATATATATATATATATATATATATATACAGTGTTATTCAAATAGAATGAATTGATTTCATGACACATTGCTTCAGTTTTCAAGCATCGTCATGAAATGAGTCGATGACCATTTGAAAGGAGTTTTCTAAGTTTTGAATGGCTGCCACATGGGTGCTGTAGTCATATCGTATTTCCGGCAACATTCAGATTTTTGTATACCCCCCGTAATGGCAAGTCTTCAGCAAAAGGTGTTCTGTGTTCTTGAGTTTGCAAAAACAAATACGGTTGTCACAGTGCAGCATGCTTTTCAAAGACAATTCAACAGTAATCCTCCCTTTCCAAAGAACATTAGATGGTGGTTTAAACAGTGGGTGTCTGTGTAAAGGAAAAAGTCCAGGACGACCACGAGTTTCAGTGGAACAAATGGCAATAATCTGTGCTACGTTTGAGTGGAGTCCATGGAAGTCCACAAATCAAGCTAGCCTGTGATCTCTCAATCTGGCATGTGTTAAGATGTCTACATTTGAAACTTTACTGACTATGCCTCATTCAGGCACTTAACCAAGACCTTGCTCTTTGTGTTTGGCTTGCAAGATTCCCAAACCTCACCATGTGATTTTTTTTTTTTTTTTTTTTACCTGTGGGGATACGTAAAATATCGTGTTTATGTTCCACCCACTAACCTCGATGACCTTAAATATCAAATAACAACAGTTATCAACTCAGTAGATTGTGATATACTGATACACATCTGGGAGGAATTCTCTTATTGTATTGATGTTGTCCGTGCTGCAGGTAGTAGCCACATTGAATACTGGTAAGACGGGAAATAAAAGTTGATTGTGTATAGAATACTTGTGACTTGATTGGAGTTTTCTATTGCTTTTCGTTATTAAAATATCAGTTAATTCTTTTTGAATAACCCTGTATATCACTTTTTAAGTTTAAACTTCAACAAAAATTATCAGCTTAAGTTTTATTAAAAATATATTTCTCTTTCTCTCCGATATACAAATCTACATATCAGACTAAAAGCAAGTAGTTGGCAAAATTGAAAAAATGTACGTCTTTTTTCCTTTGAAAGGACTTTTTCAGGCTAATAATGCTTTTATCAATGTCATTTTATATCTGTAGTGGTGGTTGATGAAAGGCAACAAATGTCAATTACAATTCTACATTGAGAAACACATAAGATACAGGCATGTTTAGCTTTAAATGTTTTGGGATTTGATATATCTAGATGCATAACATAGCCAACCTCATCCAGCTTATTATGATCATTTTTAAATGATTTTTTTAAAATGATAGTGGTTTCCTGTTGCCTTCTCCAGGCTTTTGAATTTAAACTTGTCCTTCTCCTAGACTGGCTACCAATCAAGGCTAGAGAACCTAGTCTGTCATGCTATTTAACCCATTGTTGGAAAGAGAAAAGAATTCATGCTTTTCCCAAGAGCCTTAGTGTGAAGTGAAAGCCACAAACTGGGCAGGAACTTGGCTTGCTGGTTCCGCTTTCCATGCTGATAGCCATTATGTGCCACCCATTCCCAATACCTGTATAATTTAAACATCAGTTTAAAGGCCAAAAATTCATAATCTCTAATCCATCTTGAATGCAAGATGGATTTCAAACAGTTAAGCAACTGAATATTTTAATATATTTTGAATTTCTCCTAAAAATGTTCATGAGATGAATGAACCAGCTTCATTTATTTTTATATATATATATATATATATATATATATATATTTCTCTTATGCAACATTTGAAGACCTCATTCTGAAGCTGATTTTAAAGTGGTCGCATCATACACAAGATATCCAAATTAGTGTATGTGCTGTTGACAAAACTATATATCCATTTACTGTAGCTTCAAAATTAGGTCTTCAAAGGTTGAATGATATGCAATTATATAGGAGGAGAAAGCCAGAAGATGGAGGTCACATCATGGAGCAATATTTAAATGTATCATTTTTCTCTGCAAATTATAACAATAATTTAAAATCAGTCACTATTTTCTTACAAAAAATTGTGTGACATGCAGCAAAGTGCAGGTAATTCAGCTATTTAATAATAAATATACGACCCCCCCCACACACACACACTCACTCACTGGTAGCACAACTTAGTATCACAACTTAGTATCATGTATGATGCAGTTGTCAGGTGCTGATTGTGTTTTCAATCATCTGAAAATTGCATTGTGCATGAAACTAAGTTGTGCTACCAGTGGGTGGGGAATGGACGTATATTTATTATTAATATAAATTTTAGCCCTGTTATACAGTCAACACTATTAGCACCAGCACTTAGTGTGTGATACACTAATATATATATATATATATATATATATATATATATAATAAATATATATATATAAAAAAAGCCTGTTCACTTTTCTCATGGCATTTTAGGAGAAATTCAAAATACATTAAAACTGTTCAAATCAGTTGCTTTATTATTAATATAAATTTTAATACTTTAGACTAAACAAATAAGATGATAACCAATCCTCAAAAAAAAAATCAAAATACATAAAGAAAATACACATAAACGCAAATAAATGTAATAATAAACAACAAATAAGTAATCAATAATAAATAAATGAGTAAAAATAAAAAAACACTATAAAATAGCTACAAATAGCCACATTCAAATCTACAATTATTTCTATACAATATTCTCGGGAATAATTTGAAATATAGCTATTACTGCCCACCCAATAGATCTTGTAACCCATAATGTACCATTTGCTACATCTATAAATAGTTGAACCAACTTGCAACACACATGGTTTAGGGATAACATTCAAATATAAAACACTGTCACTGCGTGTCAACCTCAGTGTTTATTTTTATATTTACATATACTCTATCCCTGATATTGAGCACTTTTACCGTAAAACCATATTTTTATCATTTATATATATATATATATATATATATATATATATATATATTCTAACTAATAAACATAACTGGTTAAGATAACTTTCAAAATTTTCATGAACTTTTATAATATAACAGCATGCATTTTCTATTTTGAACACACTGAGTAGGATGTCTAGTACAAGTAATCTTGTATAGTCTCTAAAATTTGTCTATGAAGACATCCAAGGAGACAAATAACTACATTTCTTAAGTAATTTGATAATCAATACCTCACTAAAAATGTCCCAAATTCAGTACTCTTTAACAAGACTATTGAACATCAATACTGTTAATAATCACAATGTCAATGAAAGGAAGTGTACCTATGTTTCATAGACTAGACAAAAGCATTTGATATGGTAAGACACAAAGATGTATTTGAACAGCTAGGGAAAGTTTATTTGGGAAAAATATTAGATTAATTCAGAATATTTACTGGGAACAAATTGCCCGCATACAGAAAATAAATTAAGTATATAAAAATAGACATAAGACAAGGATGTATCTACTCACCAGATTTATTTAACCTATACAGTGAGGCATTCCTATTAGAACTAGAAGTCCTACCAGGATTTATCATCAGTGGGCACAATCTTAACAATATATGGTATGCAAATGACACTATGTTGATGGCAGACACAGAAAGAAAACTGCAGAAAAGTAGAGAAAATATTGTCAGTTGTAAAAAGACTGTATGGTCATCAGCAAGAAGATAACCCCAAAATGTAAGTGATGAATTGAAGATATTATTTAAATTTCTGTACTTGTTTAATTCTATCTGGGAAGTGTTTTTTAAACAGATGATGAAAAATTTGACACCAAAATCCAAAGTTGCATTGAAATAATGTAAGATGCTTTCTAAAAGCTAAAAACAAAATGTAGTAAGAAACAGGAAATTTTTGTTAGAAACAAAGAGGAGATTTTTTAACTCTTATGTAATATCAATCCTTGTATATGGCAGTTCATACTGGGTAATTTCCTCACAGATGAAGAGGAAACTTGAGGCGGCAGAGAGATATCATGTCAATATGCCCCTAAAATGACTAAGCATAGCTTAGATGTGGCACAAGGCCCAAAGTATGGGTCACCCAGTGAGGATCAAACTCAGCTGAGAATGATCATGAATGGAGCATCTAAACAAAAAGAATGCTTATAATTAGAATCAGAAAGAGATTTCTGGTACACATTGGGAAAGAAGGCTAGGAGAATTTGAAACTTATAGTACATTGACGAGGAACAGAGGGGAATAGCAAGTAACCTACCCAACAAGCTTGTGTAAAAATGGGTGGCATAACAGTTGGAACATTAGTAAGATCAACATTGCTAAGAGCTACAAAGGATAGGAAGTTGTGGAGAGCTATGGTCATCCACGTCCCAAAGGGACATGGCACATAAAAGATGATGCCTGCATATTTAAGAAACAGATTGTTGATATGAATTTGTTTAAATGCATTATAAAAATTCAAACCTGTCTGCCATGATTTTAGTTTGCTCTTTTAATATAAAGTATGGTGAGATTAGCAAAAACAAAAAGAGGCAAAAGATTAGTTTTAAGATTACAATTATCCACTTATTTAATCTTCATATGTACTCTGCATCTTACACACTAATACATGATTTACCATAGACTGTAATCAAAAGAATTTTGAAATTATTTCATTGCAAGGTCAAAGTACACATGTTGAATTGTCATAAATTTCCTTTCTAATATAAATTTACAGCATCTTGATTTTTATTTTTATTTTTCCTCCCATAACTTAAAGATTTTTCTTTCTTTCTTTCCAGAAAGAGAAAAAGGGCAAGAACAAAAAGAGGAGACGTCGCTTGCCATGTGTCCTCTTGTGAAGGACAATGCCCTGTGCTAGCAAAGAAGCATTCAAGCAGACAGAACATCCTGTTCGATTCTATTGATAAATTTACTTAAATTTTGGGGTCTTTCTTATTTTTGTACTCTTTGGATCTATGTCCCATTTTCTTGCAAATTTTCTTGCAAATGTACATAAACACACACACATATATATATATATATACACACACACACACACATATATATATATATATATATATATATATATATATATATATATATATATATATATATTTAATGTTTGTTTGAAAAATGGCCAAAAAAAAAAAGAATGAAGAATATACAGAAAGAATTTTTTTTTTTTTTTTTTTTTTTTTTCAAAAACTTTTATAAAAAAAATTTTTTTTTTTTTAATAGGTTTTTTTTTTTTTTTTCTTCTTCTATAATCACGTGTACTAGGAAAAAAAAAATCTATTCATTCCTTTCTGCCTTTCTCATTATCCTTTTAGGGTCTGCCTAATTTATGCCCTGCCCCCACTTCTCTTTTCTTTAAGTTTTCAAAAATTTTATTTTGCTAATTTGTAATAATTTCCAAAGACTTTTGTTGCTTACATTTAACAAAACATTCTCTTTTCTGTTTTTGAACAGATTCTTTTCAACTTACAGGTTTTAGAGTTTTTTGTTTGTTTGTTTTTTTTTTTTTTTTTTTTTTTTCCTTTTTATTAAATAATTTTAAATTAACTGTTTTCTTTCACATTTTTTATTTCCCCTTTCCCCCCAAAAAACACAAAATAACCATAATAAAATCTATTTAAAAAAAAACTTTAACACATAACTGTGTTCTGTTTTGTGAAATTAATTCAGTCAATTTAATCTTTTTCAAACAATCAAAATATTCTATCTTATTTTTCTTTCAGTGTGTGCCTGTGTGCACATACACAAATTCCAATACTGTCTAGAACTTGTTTTATTTGATGTCTCTTCATTCATTATGAAGACATTCTATCATCTTTCCCTTGTGATCTTCGACACCACTCCCCCCCACACACACAAATAGACTGTGGGTTGAGTGGGGGAATGCAAACCACCCCATCATTGTCCAGAATTAGAATTCATGAGGAAAAGTCTAGGTATATTGTTGCAAATAAAATGAATAAGGTGGGTGGGGGAATTTATTTTATTTATTTATTTTCTTTTATTTCTTTAAAATAAACCTAAAGCTTGTTTGTAGCTAATAATATTGCTGCTGCTGCAACAAATACATGGTTTGGAATAAAAGTGAATAGCATTAAATCTTTAAAAAAAAAAAATGTGGGTGAGGTGTAATTCATAAGGATGAAATTTTTGTTTCTGGGCATGTTGCACGCACGAAGCCTGAATGGTCAAGAGGAAGACTACAATTAACCATGATGCTTTCATTTGAGCCCTGGCTTCACTTCATATTATCCACAAATTACTAAGGAACCTATCAATGTCAATTTGGAGAGGAAGAAAAATAAGATTTGTTTCAATCTTGCCAGATGGTCACAAATTAAGACCAATTTAATGAATCTAAAATTAAGAAATTAAAATCTCCAGGCATGAATAGGTTCCCTAGTCTTCATTATTCATACATAACTGTCTACTTCCAACTCTGAAAGATAAACAAGTTGTTTCTTTTCACATATATATATATATATATGTTTTTTTTCTAATCACTTGAAATAATTTTCCTCCTAAAACTTTCATGCTGGAAATTATTTGAAATTTTCTGGTTGGTTGCAGGATTTTGATAAAATTTTAAGACAAAATGTTGGTTTTTAAGTCTCCATAGCCCAATTCTTCCTCTCAATTCCCAAATTAGCTGCCAGGCTGTAACCATACCTTCTTTCTTGTTTCTCTTTCAAATGCTTGTGTGTAAAACTATTGCTAAACTTATGTAGACTCCACCCTTTTTTTTTTTTTTTTTTTTTTTTTAACAAAAGATAACCAAACCGCTTCACCTCAAAATGAATACATTTTTTCAAAATTAATAAAACTTCAATTCCGTGTAGAAAGAAAAGAACTAAAAGAAAAAGAAAAAAAAGAAAAAAAAACTTGGTCAACTTTTTTATTTATTTTTTTTATTTTTTTTTTTTTTTTTTTTTTTTAGCCTGATTATGAATTGATTGGCTAATTTATCTGTAAAGCGCCGTCCATCAGGTGCTGGCCGATGTTGATGTTGCCACTTATCTATACATGCAGGCATCATTTCGCTGGTAGATGGAGAATATTTACTCATGTACAATAAAGGAAAGACACCCCTCCTCTCATTTGAGTGTCCTCGTCTAGAGCCAGCCTTTCTTCCTCGATTGAAAGACACTCATGGATTTATCTTGGGTTACCTCCCTTGGATGTACACACGCACAGTTTGACGTTACTCAGGTCATACACAAAATATTATTTGGTGAACAAATTAAGACGCTAGCTGGTGGGTGGTGGATAGTTTATGATTTAGTTTATTATGGACTTTTTTTCTTAATATCATAGAATAACTATTTTGAATGAAAAAGCACATAATTAAAATTCCCTTTTAATTATAATTTTCGTTTGTTTAAATAGATTAAGTATAAAAACAAACTTCAATCAAATTATTCTCTCTGAGAGCAAATCCTTGTGTTGCCATTTTGGTGCAGACTAAAGTGTAAAAAGTGACTTTTACAAATAATTTGGTTTAATCAGTTTCCAGTCATCTTTGATTTATTAATAGATAAAAAAATGTATATTATAAGACTGGGAAAGCATTGTGGATGTAAGTTTCACTTCTATAGCATTTAATATTTTTACTTAAATAAATGTCTTGAAATAAGTGTTGATATGGTTTACAAATCGATCCAAATTTTATAAGGATTAAAACGTCTTTGTTGTTTGTTTATATTGAGTGTTAAGTTGTTATGAAACGATTATTTTGATGAATTCAGTGATGACAGTAGTTGGTGATAAACACTCTAAGTCAACCATTTTCTTCCCCTGGTAAAGTAGCATGCTTAAGTTAATGCAAAAACAAAAGGAAAAAAAACCATCAGCTGAAGTCAATTAAAGGTCACCAGAAAAAATTCAATTTAGATTTTTCTAAAATTAAATGTAAAGGAAGAAAAACTATAAATAAAAAAAAATAAAAAAATAAAAAATCTTTAAGAATCTTATTTAAACTGGGGTAAAGTTAATGTGCTCTCTTTATTTAAAGAGGTGAAAAAAAAAATGTTGCTATTAATTTTTTCTTTCCTCCCCAGTCCATTCAGTTTCTTTGCATATTTAAAACTGCTTTTGTATATATATATATATATATATATATATATAAACACACTATTTTTTTCTCATTGATAATTTTTATTTTGTAAAACAAATCCCAACTCATAAGTCATTTCCCAATACTTACTCTCTTGTCTGTCTTTACTTTTCTTATTATTCCTTTATATATTTTTTTTTTCTTTCAAAACATTTGTACAACAGAGAGGGGGTGAATAGTTTTGATACCAAGTGTTGAAAAAATTTCAAAGAAAATGTCTTATGTTAATGTGGTTGTATAATTTTTTCTTTCTTTTTTTTTTTTTTTTTTTTTTTTACATTTTTTTTTTCTGTCCCTTCTTCCCCATGTTTCTCTTTACCCCCTCTCTTTCCTTCTCTGTCTTTATCTCTCTCTCTCTCTCTCCACTTTTCCTCCCTCCTGCTGCTTGCTTTCCATTTTGCTGCTGTGAAGGCTCTCCTAATGGAAGGATGAGGAAAGTTGTGGCTGACCTGTGGCAGTCTTTAAAATAAACTATTCTTAAAATGTATGTCATGAATTGTAATAAAATTTCTTGAAGAACATTCAACATTTCTAATTTACTCTTTTTATTATTTGTATTCTGTGTTTAATATAAGTAAATGTGATTGTTTTCAGGGATGGGAGTGGGGGATTTGTGGCACATGATTTCTTCAGAAACCTCAGAAAACAAATAGTCTTGAACTTCAATTTTGGAAAGTTTACCTAGAAGAAATTAAATACTTGAAAATGCTTTCTGTAGAGTTAAATTGCTCTGTAGACTTTACATGAGTCGATTAAGTGTAATAGATGTGGATTAGAAAAATCCAATCAATATGTCCTTTGAAGCAAATCAATTAATAAAGGAAAAGGTTGTAATATTAGTACAAACCATAGTGTAAAAATAAGCTCCTATATTTACTGCATAGATGTCCTGCATTTCCACAAGACAAGGATCCCATCATTTTCTGATAGCCACTACCTATCATTTATTAGAACCTATTAAATTTTCAAACTTTGTCTCTTTCTTACAATACATAAAAGCAAATAATTAACTTGTGTGTATTTGCAATTTCATTTTTCTTAGAGCCTAAAGTGAACTTTAAAGACAACACACTGAACCCTTCCAGTTCAAATTTCATAAGTTCATATGCCTCATTTCTCAGTCATTCACTAGAAACCAGGAGGGAATTATTTCATTATTGAGAGGGAATCTGCAAAAAAATAAATAAATACACACAGAGAGAGGGTGTGGTCGAAATACCTCCCACATACTGGTAAGACATTAGTGGCAATGGTGTCTTCATTTAGCTAATGTCTTCTGTTATGTAGAAGGTATTTCTGCTGCACCTACGATTACTTTTTTTTTTTTTTTGTGTGTGTGTGTATATATATATATATATATATAAAAATAATCCTCACTCTTGCTCCATATGTGGCCTCCTTTGTAAATCACTAGTGGGTCTTAAATAACCTTTACATAACTGAATCAACTAAGCTATCAGATCCTCATACGTCAGAACTGACAGGAGAGTCCATTATTAGTATATATAATAAATAAAATGTAATCATAGTAATTCCTGCTATAATATTGGCAATTAAAAGTTCTCAATACAAAGTAGAGCCTATAAAACGTAAGATAGATCAGAAATTAAATAATACTGAAACAACTAAAGTTTCACCCTCAAAATTGTGTAGCTTGTGTCTTACACCTTAAATATGGAGTGCATTGTTTTTTCGTTGTTTTTTTTATACATATACCTCACTGATAGCACG